TCTACGTCATATTTTTAAAGAACATTAGTTTTATTAACTCGAACATTGTTTAATGTGAGCAAAAAATAAAATTCTAAAATCTGATCAAGGTTGTCTAGTTCTTTGGCGAGAAAATATATAAAGTTTCCTAGTACCTACTCTTTGTAATTTTGAAAACATGCTCCTAGTTTTATATTTCAACCCGAAAGTAGCCTGGTAAAATATATGCACTGTCAGCATTGTCAGTTGTTAGCTTTTTAAAATTGGAACATAATTTAGTAAAATAGATAGCTTTTGCATGACTTACAATTAGTGATGTATCACTGTTTCACCATTTTTTTTTAATCAATATGGACGAAGGGCCGAACATTAGAGAATATTTTGTTAAGTTAATAATTGTAAATAAAACTAATTGGTTTTAAAATAATTATTTGTCTTTTAAAAAAATTTACATACAAAAATAAATAAAAAAGCTAATCTGACGTGAAATATTTTTGTAAAATTATGTCAAGTTTATAAACAATTATGTTCCTATTTTTTTAAGCAGCATAATGTATTTATACTATACTACAGTCACTACACGCATTTAGGAAAGATACAACAGGTAGTATTATATGTTATAAAATTCTAAACAAAATACTCCTACTACTCCTTTTTTCTTATTCAGTCACTTCAGCAACCAATCAGTGCTAGACATTAAATTAATCAAAAGTAAACAAAATAGTAATTAAACTGTGAATAGTTTAAATTTAAGCAGAACCGGATCCTGTTCCGAATGCTTATGAAAGCAACCCCACTGCTCTGTTAAAATTCCATATAGCCACTTCTGAAAAGCCATCTTATGATTGTCAGTTGACTTCACACCTGATATGATATGACGTGACAGGATGGTAAACGGGTAAAAAACAAACTGCCACTTTAATTCAGTGAATCAGGATTGGCAGAATACGTCATCACCACTTCATTCTATTATATTTTTATTTTCAGTAAAGTAATGAATCAAGAAAAGTCTTATATGGTTAAAGCCTACTTTTTGTCAGGAGTTCAAAGTTACACCCTGTATAAACATGGGTCTATAAATCAATAGATTTCTAGATACAGGGTGTTAAAATAAAAAAAAATTACATATTTGATCACTACTTATACTACTACTATGTCTTGTGATATTTCAGATATTTTCTTTTATTTGAAAAACGAAAAATTTCGATTTATTACATTTTTTTTACTTTTGTAAACGTTGCCAAACACTACAAAATGTAAATTAACTTTAGTACTCGTTTCAGTAGAATTTTAAATACAAACTATTCTATAACAAGTCTAATAAAAGCAAAGGCGTGAAATTTCGCATTTTGTTAAAAGTAGCAGACATTTGGCCCAGAAAACTGTACCAATTACTTTCTTGGACTTTTCATGATTATGTTGCATTTAAAATTGCATATTTAGAAGAAGTCCGATGTACTTTTCTTGAGAAACGAGTATTTCTAAAGTTTTGTTGAGTTTCAACACTTTCACTGTACAAAGCGTGTATATGCGGCCAGTCGCAACTTCATAATGTAAATGTAACAAAAGCCGGAACTCGTGATTATTGAAAATTAAGGATCTTCAAGTAGGTTTAGCGTCACCATAAAGTCGTTGAGAAACTGATGCCTCTTATCACCGGGAGTAATAAATTTGCAAAGCTCGACCATTGCAGTCCTTCGGAGAGGGCCTCATAAAAAATTTAGCAATGATTTTGAACAAGTAGACAAAATAATAATAGATCAAATAGTTGGTTTTTAGGCGGATTTTCCAAGCTATAAGAATAAATTAAATGAGATTGACTAATCCCTTCTGTGTTGCTATACGGAGTCACAAGAGGAAGGTGTAAGGTTACTTGTAAGTTTAGTTTAGTTTCAAAATTATCCATACAATTATAAATTCAGTCAATTAGGTATTAACATGGTATGGTTAAGTCATTTCAACCCCCGATATTCAGGGAGTCCACCAATAAGATAAGAACAGAAACTTCTGGACCCAAGAAATGGATGTGTCGAATTCAGGAGAGACCTCCGGAAAAAAAGGCAGTTTCTCCTTGGATTTCACACTGGTCAGTTTTCTTAATTTTAAAGTCTCAGTTAATTTAATAGCGGATAGTGTTTCCAAATTTTGCTATAAATTCGCGTTGGGTTCCCTGAATCTCGGATTGCGTTGTCACGTGTAAATTAATCAATGTTTGTTGGAATCCGCTGTGTCTTCGTTATTTTGTTTGTTTTTTAATTGTTATTAAAACCCTTTCTGGAATGTTTTGGTGTTTTCTTGTTCTTCCAACTTAAGTATCACCCGTTACAACCAACCACTGGATTACATTCAACATGAGCGACGTATGGTAAGTGTCTGGAATTTATTCTCTGAACGTACAACATTTCTAAGTTCCCACGTATTAATTAAAGTGTAGATAATAAAAATTATAAACTCCCTTTCGAGAAGTTAATAATAAACTCCTTTGAAAGCCAGTATCGTTGTGATACTTCAAAATGGTCGATAGATAAATAAAGAAATAACCCCTTAAGTTACATAAGTTTAGGTAAGTGTATGAATTAGTGATGTAACGAATATCCGCATTCGCGAATATTCGTTTGATTTATGATATTCGCATTCGCAAATATCTTTGAATATTTTGCGAATATGAATGTGAAAGAAAAATACAGAATGTGAAAACAATATTAGGTTCGTTCAACATCGCAAATCGTAAAATAAGTCCATATTTCACTAGAAGTTGATTTATTCATGTTAAGAAATAACTAACAACAGTCTAACCTCACAATTCACAAACTCATCTGAGCCGGTAGCGAAAACAAAACAAAATTCCAATCATACAAAAATACCGTTCTACCAACTTAACAACGCTAATTTCTTTAGCCTCTAGCGCCGCTGTCACCGAAATTATTATGTGCGTCGCGCGCGGCATATTAAAAACTGAATATTCGTATTCGCATTCGCGAATGCTTAAAAACTGGCATTCGTTACATCACTAGTATGAATATTTACCCACTTCATAGTTTAACATATTTTCAAATTATAAGTAGCAACGACCCTATTTATAAGTTGTTAGTTTATTTTGTACTATTAGTGAATTATTTTCTTCATTAACATTGTGATAAATGATTTCAGTCAACCCGGCCCGTCAGGGATAAATGTAAAACAAAAAAAAAATAATCTTGAAAATTATCATAAGGTGTAATTGTTAAGAAATGTAAATTCCAATCTTTTTTTTGTTTTTAGACTTATTTTTTTTAATTTTATATTTTATTCAAATAAAAAATATCTTCTGTGTTAGTGAAACTAAAATTCTTTAAAAATATTAGGGACTACCAATTTGTATAAACATGCAGATGACGCATATGCACCCTTTTGTAAAAAACACTAATGACCATCGATCTGGGTTATAATTTGCCATCGGAAACTTTGTGGCGAGTCAAATAAATAAACAGCAGTAATCTATATTACACTAGTAAGCAGCAATACACGTAGCAGTAGAAATATGATAAATCTGTGGTCAAGCTGTGTACCGCTCTATGCTCACGATATGCAATGCTATTGACTGGCATAGAAACAGATGTTGTACACTGACCAAGAAAAGCGTCCAACTCACCCACAAACAATGAAATGCACGGCCAACATCCCTCGGCAAAAAAACCTGGTATGTTCACCAGCACGCCAGATCGACAGGGCAGGTATTAGGATGCCACTAGATACGTTTCGAATAAATTGATCGATGCGCAACTTCAGATCAGAGGCAAACATGCACATGTACAATAATGAGGATAGTGGGATTAATAGAATGTGAAGTAGTTGATGTTTTGCCACCGTCAGTAAAAATAGTATCTATTAAAAACTTTGACTATTTGAGATATGTGCCTGTGACTTCGGTAAGTGTTGAATGGTTATTTTTGGTTTTTAAATGGATATTTACCGATCGTCGGAGACGATTAACAAAGGAACACTTAGGATAATTGTTATTTTCGAACTCTAGTTATCTTAATTTAAGTTAGTGGACAAAAATTTAGTTATGTGTAAGAATAACGTTACCTCTACACTAGGTAGTAGTATGTAAATTAATTGCTGCAGCACCTGTTAATGGTTTGGTAATGTTAACGAAAGTTAAAAAGAGTAATAAATTGTAAATGATTCGTTTTTCGAATAAAATTAAACATACATTTTTTCTTGGAAACACCACAAGGAGGAAGTAGTGACGAAATTTTCAAGATTCAATGGCATTGAATTTCTGGAGTTTCTATTCGAAGTAACTCTCAGTACCTCTGCCACTGGTACATTTATTTATAATCAAGTTCAGTGGATTTAATTAGATAAATCATTAGGTTCAGTTTTATCAATCTATATCAAACTTCTTCAGTGATATTTTAGAAAACTTGAAATTTCAAAACTGTATCTCGAAAACTATCGATTCGCAGACAGACTCATGTCTATATATGTAACATTAATGCTTTAAAAATCACTCAAAAAACCCCATAAATTTGTCAATATATTTAATTAACACCTTGTATATCTGCTGTGGTTGCGAAAAGCATTGCACAATCAGATCAACTCACCTTTTTAATTTTAATAAACTTAACTTGTTCGCCACTTTTAATTCATAAAAAAAAAGACGTGTATATTTTTAGACTGATGGCAATTATGAAAAGGAAGTGAGGGTATAATACTCACATATTCAAAAATGATATTATGTGTACAAATTTATTGAAACATATTTTTAAATTAAAACTACATTTTGTTATTTAAATATAATAACTATGTCTTATTCCAGACACAGGAAAACTATACATTTGGCAATAGATGTGAAATATAATTTCATTAATTGTTCGTTGCGACACTTATCACTATTCACTAGTGTCCATTGCACAAATCAGTCGACGGCCCCCCAAAATACTTCCAATCCGTAAACATCGAGCATCCCAGTTTTTAAAGAAAACAGATAAAAGAAAGTGGTTTGATTTCACAATAATAAAAAAAAAACACAAAAATTAAACAATTTGTTTTACTAATAATTAAAAGAAATTCTTCGATTATTTAAAAATAAATTAATTTTACAGCAATATAATAATAGTAGACACCTTAACCCACTATATGGGGGGCTATAAGTGAAATATATTAAATTATTCGAAGTTTATGGGTGACTCATCACTATATATATTATAAATTACACTTTAGTTGACGATATTTTTTTGTAATACCTCTAGTACATTTTTATGATAAATAAAAAGAGTGTTGTCCTTCAGAAGCCGCTAAATGTAATTTTTCTCGCATAACTTCGATACTAGAATAGTCTGGTAGTTTGAGGTAGTTCACACATGTCATCACAGATGGAAGGAAGTCGTCTGGATTCATATTTGGTTCCAAGGTCTTCCGTACTACAGTTAATGGAGGAGATAATGCCTTAAAACCTTAAAAAAGGAAAATATATTAGTTCATACTGATAAGCTTTCATATATAACTTTTAATAGAGATGTGCCGCGGACATGTCAGCTGATCATGTCCATCGGACATGTCGTGAAAAGTGGACATGTCCTGAGGACACTTTTCAATATTGAAAAGCTGTATGCGTATGCGTGGAATTATTTGTTGCATTCATAATTCCCACAAAAAATTTTTGACGTTGGTACATGTAAAATTAAAGATATTTAGCCATTTTCTTGTAATTTTGTTGGTAGTTGTTTAACTTTATATGTCTATATTTTATTATTATTGGCAAAGTTAATGATTAGTAAATAGTAATCAGTTGATTCTTAATTTGATATTTAATACACAAATAGATTATAAATGAAGTATGACGCCAAAATCAACAGTTTGGTTATATTTTTCTGAATTGAGTAAAAATCATTATAAATGCAACTTCTGCTCAAAAACTACTTTTAAGAATTCAAGTAGGATGGAAAAACATTTAAATAAGTGTATTGGCTATCCGGATAAAATTAGAAACCAGTTTATAAAAAAGTCTAAAGGTTGGTAATAAGTAAAATATATCGACACATATTCATTAGAATAAAAGTAATATTTTGCTTTGTGTATCCTCAAGCAGTGACTTGTGAAAACATGAGGTCACTCATAGGTGCCTTATTAGATTCAAGGTCAAAAATACTTTTCCCGACATGTCCGGACATTTCATCGATATGTCCAACGGACATGTCCGTAACACACTTTTTCGAAAAGTGTCCATCTCTAATTTATTTAAGATTATTTCTGCAAGCTGTATTCGTCTATTCTACACAGTAATATACTAGGTACTTTATGACAAACTGTACATAATATGATGGCAGAGTGGGGACACCTAGGCAAATATGTGGAGATCACTTAAAAAGCCCTGGGTTAAAATTTCCGGATATACATAACAGAGGGTGTCTCATAAGTAATGTCGGGTTTCATAACTAAAAATTCACTATGCCTCATTTTATACATGTCGTAACTTGTTAACACAAGTCTCTAGTTCTATGAAGAGTGCAATTGATTTATTTTATTTTAATCATACTATCTTTGTTTAATGACCGCATAACACATTTTAATAATAAAAAGAATGGAGAGTGATAAATACGAAATTCGTGTACTGTCGAGACATTATTGGACACAAAAGTTTAAAGCAGCCACAGTAGCAAGGAAATATTTGAAATTGAAGGGGAAGACATGGTTAACGAGCGAATAGCACAGCATTGGTTTAATCATTTTAACAGTGGAGATTTGACGGTTGAAGATCGATCACGCTCTGGTCGTCTGCCTGTGTGTGATATTGATGCTACAAAGGAAACAGTAGAAAACCAACCCAGTATCTGCACTCGTCGATTATCGGACTCGCTTGGGCCTTCTAAAGACACTATACATCACCACTTAAAATCATTAGGTTAGACCTATAAAAGTTGTCGGATAGTGCCCCATGAATTATACGAAATCAGGCGAAACGTCGAGTAGAGGTGTGTAAACAGCTCCTTGCTCTGCTCAAAGGTGATCGTTTTATTAAATGAATTAATACTTGCGATGAAAAATGGATTTATTTAAACAACCCAGATATGTCAAACCAGTGCTTAGACAAAAGAGAATTACCTGAACCTGTCGTGATAAGAGGTCGATTTGGTTTGAAAGCTTTGTTATGTGTCTGGTGGAATTATGAAGGTTTCGAGATAATTCCGGATGGTTGAACTGTCACTGCTGAGATATATTGTGGACAGCTGATACAAACGTATGAGGTTTTATCACAGATATATCCAGGCGAAAATGGGTGCTCTTACAAAAATATTGTGAAAATTACGCAAGATAAGATCGAAGAACTTAGTATTGAACTCCTACCACATCCAGCATTTAGTCCAGACTTTTCACTGTCTGATCACTATTTATTCAGATATATGGCAAAATTCTTGCATGGAAAAAATTTTGAGTTCAGAGATGTTGAAAATACAGTGTCAATTCTTTGCATCTAAGCCCAAAAAATGGTTTTATCAAGGTCTTAAAGAGCTGGCTCAACATTGGTTTAGAACTATAGAATACCATGAGCTATACTTTGATTATTAAGGTTTTCTTGAAGCTCCATTAGATAATTATCAGACAAATAGTTTTCCCCAATTAAGTACTCATAATTCACACCGCTTTCATCATTTCCAATAGTACCATTTTTTATTTAATACAATATTATTTGATTAAACAGGACCACAATAGATCGTGGAATAGGCCTACTGTGGAAACCACGTTAAAAAAAGGCACCAAGTACACTACCTCACAGGTGACGTGGAAACGTGCATATTATGGAGAACACAACTTTTTCAACTTTTTGAATCGCAATATCTCAGAAATGGTGTTTCTTAGGAAAAAACTGTAAGCACTATTTTTATAGATAATTGTATGCTCTACAATTTTTGTCTGACCTATTTCTATGATAAAACTTATCGTTTGGCTGAAAAACGTAAACAATCCATAATTGCGAACTTTGACATTGAACAATTTTTTTTGCAGATGTAGGATCGATGGGGACTTTTCACATTTCATTTATAATGATGTTCCCAACATTTGTACCAATTTTCAGCTTTATGCAAATTATTGTAACCTTGAATGTCTATTTTGACAGGGCTATGGGCTGGAAAAGTAAGAAAATGGGAAAAGGGAAATTTAAAATTTGCCACTGAGGCTGACATAATTAGAAACTATTCATTCACTTTAGCCGTGTTGTGAAAATTATAAATGTTATCACTAACAATTGCATTCACTAAAGAAATGCTATTTAAATGCTTTAGTACTTAAGCTACAATAATAATCCCTATAGATGTGAATCATATTCTATTAAATGAAAAATATTGTGTTTGCAAGTTGCATTTAGAAGTAACATTTAAAAAGTTGTAATTAGCACTAAAAATGTGAAGACACCATATTTCAGCCTCAACACATGGCAAATTATTCGAATAGGCTTTTTCAAATACTTTAGCTTTAGAATAAAGCACAACAGAAATCAAAATGACGTAAAACCAATCTAACTCAACTGAAACGGCATAATGTAAAATGAAATAAATTTTAAATTCCATCTTACAGAAGTCCATCTTATAAGTTTTTCAAGGTTTTTGTATAAATATATAGAGGAAAAGTTTCCGACATGACAAATAATCCTGTTAGGATGTGGGATTTTTCAATTTACTATTCTCATTGCTAAAGTTATATTGAAAAACTGAAAAAAGTGCATTATCAAAGTTTTATTGTTAATTAAAAAGTCGAGGAAGATAAACATGTCTCTCAAAACCTTAGGAAGTCTAAACCAATGATATAGCAACCTGTCGGGAATGCGTTCAACCACAGTATGTACAGTTTCTCATTAAACATCCTGACTGTATTTCTACAGTGAAAAACCTTAATTAAAAGTCACGTCTAATTCCTAACTTCATCTCATACTAGAAGAAAAAATGTTTAGTTCTTGAGATAGAAGGTGATTAAATTTTATTAATGATAATTTTCAAAAAGAAAATTTTTAATTTATTAATAGATCTGGAACCTTATACTGTAGATGAGTATTTTAATAATAATAGCTTGTAATGATGAATTGATCTCTGAAATCTATTATATAGGTATTTCTTTTTTCTATATGGATAGTTGTAAAGTTGTTAGTGCTGTAATAGCAAAGCTCTGTTGACGTTATTTTCATTAATGTTACTGGATCTATGTGACTGTTCTTGAAAATAAAGATTATTATTATTATTATTATTATTAGTTTTAGTTCTCATTCGTTTCAATGTTTCCTCGCTGGTAGATGGAGTGTTATCAATGGTCCTACTTGCTGGCCGGTCAGATTGCCAGAGTTGGAACCATGGCCATTCACAGTTAGTATAAAAAAATTTGGGAGATCAAAAAGTTAAATGGTAGAACACAAAGTTGCATTTTCTTAAAAGAAATCAAAATTGTTGTGGGATTGTGGTACACTAGAACCGTTTTAAGATTGCCATTACGTCACAAGTGTGTCCTAATGTCAAAGACAGTCGTTGCGGCCGTGAATTCATTATTAAACGTGCTAAAAAGAGATACAATGATGGTATAAATGTCTTCATAGTTTCAATCTATCACAGACAACCGTTCCAATATTTTATGTGTATTAGAGTGAAAGAAAATGGAAGACGTTTGTTGGCTATTTATTTTACTGTAGTTTGACTAGCGCATTTAAAACAAAACAGAACTGACACTCATTAAAACATTAAAAATTTGACAGCTGTTTTGATCGCGTCTCCATACTAACTGTTCTATATATTTTCTGAGCGTTGAAATATCGATTTTTTGGCATATTTTCACATCCAGTAATACTAGTACTAAAATTTGCGAGATATCCAGATTTAGGAATTGTCAAGATAGCTCAGTCATTATAGACATGAAACAGCCTGTTTCGGGAAAAAAATACTATTAGAAGTTTATCTGCAGAATATTGTTCAGAAACCTGTTATAAACAAAATATCAAAAAATCAACTCGAGGCTAGTTGGGAAACTTTGTTTAAACAATGGTCAAAGTTATGGAAAAGTGGTTTTTTGACTCACGTAAAAAAACTATTATTCGTAGCGAAAAAAAGTTTATACAAAAAAGGTAGGTATTAAGCCTATAAAATGAGACAAGTCCGATTAAATTCCGATAATTTGTTTATGCGCAAGAGCTCAAAAATGGTCGAAAATGGCCGTTTTTTTCTATTGCTAATAATTAATGCAATTTTCATTGCAGACACTTGTAATTCAGGATTTTTTAGGCTTTTTACACCCTTAATAAGTGGTAAAAATTTCAGCCCGAAAGCTTAATTGGTTTGGCGTTGGCGGCATTTGTTATCTAAGAAGATGCTATTTTCAATTCACTTTTCCCAAGCTCACAGGCGTTGTAGAGTTTCGAACATTAGTTGTTTTTGTACCTAAATAGTTGTATTGACATGCATTTACTGAGAATTTAATTTTTCAAATTTAATTTGTTTAAAAATGACTGAAAATATGCCAATATTTATTAAATTGTTAAGATAGATAATTATAAAATAAAATAGTAACCTCTATAATTTAGTTTTCTTCGAATTTAAAAAAAAAATCGTAAGTTGATTAGAACCTGATACTTTTTTTTTTATTATTTAATCGCAGTGACCTTAATTATTAATATTAAGAGCAGAAATTTGGAGAGAGTATACATTAAGAGCTATATTTTCATGTTCTACATTAACATTAAGGTGAATTTAACTATTTACTTGCGAAAAAGAAGATAGCAGCGATGCGTTCTATATTACTTGGTATAGCGAACGAGTGGGGAGAGCGAGGCGGAGCATGCGCGCTTAACAATTTAATAAATATTAACATTTTTGTAAATGTATATGTCAATACAACTATTTAGGTACAAAAACAACTAATGATCGAAACTCTACAACGCCTGTGAGCTTGGGAAAAGTGAATTGAAAATAGCATCTTCTTAGATAACAAATTCCGCCAACGCCAAGCTAATGAAGCTTTTGGGCTGAAATTTTTACCACTTATTAAGGGTGCAAAAAGCCTCAAAAATCCTGAATTACAAGTGTCTGCGATGAAAATTGCATTAATTATTAGCAATTGAAAAAAGCGGACATTTTCGACCATTTTTGAGCTCTTGCGCATAATCAAATTATCGGAATTTAATCGGACTTGTCTTATTTTACAGATTTATTTAATACCTACCCTTTTTGTGTAAACCTTTTTTCTCTATGAATAACAGTTTTTTTACGCGAGTCAAAAAACCACTTTTCCATAACTTTGACCATTGTTTTAACAACTAATCTCGAGTTGATTTTTTGATATTTTGTTTATAACACGTTTCTGAACAATATTCCGCAGAGAAACTTCTAATAGTATTTTTTTCCCGAAAAAAGCTATAATGACTGGCCTAAGATGACATTTCAATTAAATGAAAGCAGTCACTAATTTGACTAAGATTTTTCGTCTTAGTTCATATGAATATTGCTTGTGACGCAATGGAAAAGATACAGCGGTTTTAGTGTATACTCCTGTTGATCTTATTACAAAACAATAATTTGTATATTTCTTCAGTTTTCAAAAAAGTATTAATTGTACCTAATTTGACTGGATTACCTTGACAGTATATAAAATGAATGAGTAACTAAAATAATAATAAAACTATATCACTTGGTACTGTAAATATAAAGCATTTGTTTGGCATCGATCACATGAACTTTTTTCTTATTTTTGGAGAATATTCTTGAGAACAATAGAGAATAAATTAAGAACAAATGTTTTTTTTTAATTTTTATTCTATTTTTAGGAATATTTAAAAAAATTTTCATTAAGAAAAAAATTAACTAAACTACTGTATTTAATTATTTTGACACCGTGTATCTCGAAAACGAAAGCCCAGAGAGAAAAATGTAAGAGGAAAAAAATGTTTCTTTTCTCAAGAGGAATTTACAGTTTTCCATTGCGACACTTACTTAGGGACACCCTGTATAAGCACGAATTACAAAAAATTAGTGCAGAACGTTGCCTAGAATTTTGGGAAATATTCTCATTCTCATGGCTAAGAAATATTCTCCAGAATTCGCAAATGTTCTTGGAGATCGAACAAGAACATTCACGTAGCTGGAGTATTATAACATCCTGTATAGTAGAGCAATTAAAATTTTTGTGACAACTTACGTAAAAACTTATTGAAAATATTTCTTCTTTATTGGTTATTGAGAAATAAATTTTAGTTGGCCTCTAAAGTAAGTTAATTCATTGCAATACAAGGCATATCCACAGAGCACTCAATTTTTTAAAAATCAAAAGGGTAGTACCTATATTTATGAAAAATTTACATATTCGGAAAGGTACATAAACACTATTTTACGACGTAGTCACCTTCAACCTCAATGCTCTTCGTGAGCTGAAGGACGAACTTTCTGAAACCTTCGTAAAAAAAAACTTCCTCTGTCTCTCGGGCCCATTGTTTTTTACAGCACAGTGGGTTTAATCTCCAGTAGAAAACTTTTTTCCACCCATAAACACCTAGAGAAGAGAAAAGTTGAAAGTCAGAAGGTGTCAGGTCAGGGCTGAGCAGGGCGGTTGACAATGTTCCAACGGAATGAATCAGAGTTGCTTTGTGGCGTTGGCTGTGTGGAGACGTTCATTGCTATGCAACAAGCACACTCCCTTCGTTAATATTCCCCTTCTTTTGTTTTGTATCGCCCCCTATAGTGTTTTCAGAGTTTGACAGTACCGCACAGCATCAATTGTTTCCCCCTGGGACAAAAAGAGAAACTTTTTAGTCCTAAAACACAGTTGTCATGACTTCTCTGGCCGAAACAATGGCTTTGAATTTTTTCACAGATGGTGAAGACGGATGTTACCACTGCATGTTTGCACTGCACGTTTCGTCGCCAATCACAATACAATCAAGGAATTGTTCACCTTCCAGTTCGAAGCCCTGAAGAAATTCCTGTGAAGATGTGATATTGTTGCCTTTGTGTTGATTTGTAAGCTGTTCTGGAACTTACTTCGCACATAATTTTCGATAACCAAGTGTTCCAGTAATGATCCCATGCAGAATAGGACTGGAGATTTGTGCGTTCATTTTTTCGATCTTGTTCATCAAAAACATTCGTTCTGCCAGCTTTATACTCAGGACACCAATTGTACACATTAGTACGATTCATCACACATCTCCATAAACAGTTTTTATTTCGTTAAAAATCTAGAATGGCACCTTTCCGTTTGCAAGAAGCCAGATTACGCTCACCTCGCATCTGGCGGGATTCGGAATTCATTTTAACACACCACTACAATAACAGTTCTCAACTGACAGACAAATAAGTGTACATTCTGCTTTCAACACCTTGGCCTTGAATATAGTGTTCCCAACTTTGTCAAAAACAAAGACAACAGAGCATCAGAGTCTCAGTACTCCTACTTTGTGGACATGCCTTGTATTATAATTTCTCAAAGAAAATGGTTTGCGATAGTATAGCACTCAGTTCAGCTTTAAACCTCAAATGATATATTTACAATGTTTTAAATAAAAAATATATATATTTAACTAAGACATACTAACCTCCTACAGGGAGTCGAGGACTTCCAGTTAAGAACTGAACAAACATCCTTTGCTCTTCTCTATTGTAAGAGCTCAACACTTCAAACAGAAACCGAATTGCCTTAGAATCAGCATTATATCCATGATCTGGCCTACAACATTCCATAAGAGTTTTCACGTCCCATCCTAAGTTGTAGTCCTTGGGACTGCCACAGAATACGGACTCTAATTCTTCAGGTTGAAACACCCGGAGATTTTGTAGTGGGAATACTGACTCGAAGCCTTCACGTAAAGATTCCATTTGACGGTTTACTCCCTCATGCAGTATCCAATGAGTCATGAGCTTAACGTAAAGATGTAGGTTATGTACGGTTACATGTGTTGATTTACCATTTTTCATTAAATCAACATTGTGGCCGGGAATTACGAAATCTATACCTAACTCCTCAACTAAACATCCATCAAATTCTAGTTTCTCCAACTGAAAAAGTTAAACAAATCATTAAAATAATCCAATAAAAAAAAACTAAACTGATTACCTCTTCATTCTTTTCCTCTTCGGTTAGATCAGTTCTTAACAGAATCTCATCTCTTTGTCTCACAATGTTGTGCATTTTGCGAAGAGTCTTATATATATCTGGATTTACATGTTTCAAATCTGCTAAAGTTAAACAGTGTTCTTGTCCTAATAACCACCGGTAGAATGTTACAGAAAATGGAAGATCGAGCTAAAAAATTTAATTATCTTATCTTATATGAAACAAAAAGGAAATTAGAATTAAAAAAACTTAAAATGTACAGTATGACATAGAATTGATGATTGGCCACCATTACAGGAATATGGATAGAGTAAATAGGAAACTGCAAATGGGAATCTTTATGGCATGATGTATGACAAGTATTTGACTTAAAATTCAAACTCGTTGAGGTTGTAACGTTATCGTAATTATTTTTTCCAGTGTCACTTATATTTTTCACAAGATAAAATGAATTGTCTAAACCAAAGCACTGGATCGATTAAATCTGTTACTGATTTTATCAACATTGCTATAGAAAACAAGACAGTTTTAATGTTTATATTCATTATTGTCATAAATCATCTGTTTCTATAAAGCTATACTGCTAAGTTGGAGTTGTTCCGAGCTTCTTCAAAAATCAGAATCACATGTACTTTCTCAGCGAGTATTTATTTTCTTAATAAATGTAGTAAATTTGCACAATAGTATAGTCTTTCCGATATCAATTGAAGAACCAAGAGGATGACAGTATGTACCAGGTGCAGTCGCTGACGCAGCAACTCGGCATTGAAATATTTGAAAAACCTGTTCCCATATTTATTTAGCCATACCCATATACAGATCTGGTCGAACTAAACGTGGAGGTGGTAGAAATATATAAGCCCAGTTAACGAATACGCGCGCGGGCAAACGAAATACAAATATAGCTGCATTGGGCCACTGCCAATAAATCTCAGCCGTTGACAAATTGCCCAACAGTGCAGTGCAGCAATGCGAAATTTGGTGTGATTCAGGTAATTTTAATTTATTATAGGCACCTTCTATTAATCATTGATATTAGAATTGCGAAAGGGAGAAATAATATTATTACATGGCACTTGGAGACTTTTTGAAATGGAACAAAACGAAATTTACCATCAATATAATAAAATTCTTTGAGGACATTATATACAAATTATTATAATGTTTTACCTTTATCGGAAAACTTTTTTAGGGACGCCTATGAAACTCATTAAATTTTATTGCCAGGCGTTTTTTTACACGTTCAATATCTTGTTTTCAGCTGCAATGCTGCCAAAATAAGTGCAGCACTAAATCTGCTAGTCTTTCTTTATATACAGGGTGTTTTCAAAAGAAGTAGTATAACTGACACCGATGAATCTACAGCCAAAAAGGACACATTTTCCATAAAAATATCCTTAGTAAAATGACCACCTCTTAGGAGATACAGCCGCTTAGTTTCAAAAAAATATTAAATAGCGGCTGTAATTAGGTCAATCGAGAGGTTTTGTTTATGACAAGAATACTAGTAGCAAACGGACTGTGCCATCATATAAAAGCCTGTAGATATAAGCTTATATATTCCCTACACCAATTTATCATTAATTAATTTTTTATAAACATTTTTATGCAAAGAAAGCATTTTTTTTAAGTTCTTTGCTTATAAAACCTAAACTAACGAAGCAACCTGAATCCTATAAAGAGACAATGTGTACAGAATCAAAATACAAATAAAAAGAGAAGTCGATCAATCTGATTGAATAATTAGAAACGAAGAAAATCCGAAAAAAAAAACGGAAAATTTAGTGTTTTTTTTTAAATTCATTACTCCTCCATTTTTTAAGTTATAGAGATGACCCTGTGCACAAAAGTAGTGAATTATACGTACTTTAAGTATGCACAAAGCAGGAACCATTAGTTTTGGCACAATTGCAAATTGAGTTTTTTTGTGCATTATTTTGCAAAACTTCTGGATGCGTTGGAGGTGGTTCGATTTTAGTTTTTCAGCTGGAGTTTAAAAGTAGAAGGATAATACAACAAAACATATATTCTAATTTCCTGATAAACTGATGTAAAATAAGTTGAAAATTCCTTCAAATATGTTCAAAAACGGACGTGTGCACGTACGCGGTCGAGTAGTGCGGAAGATCGGGAGATAAGGGGCAGTGAATATATAGGTATACAATTTATCATATTGTCAATAACTAGAAGCAGCTGCTTTTTACATTGAACTTAAACATGCACAGTGACCACAGTGACAGAGTGGTAAGAATACACGGAATCACAATGATGTGAAACCTGTGGACATTCCTTGTTTTGTTTCTGCATTTTTTGACATTTACATGAAATCTTGACATCAAACGTGAATTTGAGTTTTCTTACAAAATGTACTATTCTTTTCCAAAGAATACATATTTAGGTACCCTTGTTTACCATTAATGACATTTTATTACATTTTGTAATGAATTTATAAAAAAAAAACTATACTATAATTAACAATATTCAGGAATGGCATTATTGCCATTTGAAAGCTGAAATTTTTTTCAAGAATTAAAAAAAAGATCTATGACCAACAGGAGCCGAGGAAATTTGTTTTTTTTTTCAAAAAATGTATTTTCTATTTCTTCAACTAATCTACATTACTTTTATTATTTTATTCATATATATTAAAAGCTGTAGGTTACTCTCGCTCCCACACTCGCCCGCGAAAAGAGGCGTACGGTATTATCAAAGGCTTTCCTCGCGAGCCGCGCATTATCCAAACGTCGTATTTTGAAGGTGATCTGTCCGCGCTTTCTATGTGAAATTTCCACTTTAAAAAGATTCTTTGCCAAAAATGGACTTTTTTCGGTGGGAGAGATACCCAAAGTATATCCAATATTTAAACAGAAATGGAGACAAATGTCAGTGAAGACATCAAAATAAATTTTGTCATTGTCAAGAAATATGTGTTTGAAGTATTTTAGTAACAAAATTTTGTATTCCGTTCTGTTTTGAATGTGTGTATCTTTGTGTCGTGTTGGAACTGACACAGAGCTAGAGGATGTATACACTTGTGAAAATTGTTGATTTTTTTTTTAGTATTTTTTTAGTATTGGCTAATAAATATTATTATTATTATTATTATTTGATGCGTTTTCCCCGCCGATTGTGGCACGGCAAATCGTTACATTGCCGTTAGGCATCGGTTCCGAGATCCTTTAGAGACGCAACTTTGGTGACAAAACTTGATCTGAACATTTTTAATTTTCTGTTTAGATTCGGAGAACCAACGTTTCAAATAGCCCATGTAGGCTCCACCCAGCGTTAGATTGCCGTAGTTCATTTTGTAAACTCACGACAGTGAAGCCGAAGGTCCGGGGTACGAATCGTGGGCGGGTCACATCTTTCCTTTTTTTTTTTCTTTTTGGAAAATGTTATATATTATTTACCAACCCACAGAGAATGCACCGCGGAGCGGCCGAAGGCCCGAGCGAAAGGTCAAGTTTGCGTTAGTGGACTTGTCTACCTTTCTAGTTAATATAATTCGTGTACGTATCATTAAGTAAATTCAAATTAATTACTAACAAAAAAGTTTAATAAATGTATAAGAAAAGAAAAAATACGCTGAATTCAATACGTAGGATCGACAAAACAACAGTCACGTCAGTCTTTCTCCCCCCACCATGCACATCATGTCAAACCGAGCAAGCATTTTATGGGGCTCAACAAAATTAAGTTTAGTGTATAAAAAGGAAGTCAATGATTGCAGACTATTGTTTATATTGAAGCAAAAGTATTCAACTACAACATATATAAATTTTAGACCTTAATAATAAATGAGGTCGTAGCGATTTGAAAAAATTGTCTCAGCTCCCGTTGGTCATAGGACATTTTTTTAAATTTTACAAAAATGCACTTATTCTGAATGTTTAATAAAAAAATCGTTTTTCGTTTTAAAGATATAGAAGTTTTAAAAAATGCGATTTTTAGCGTTTTTTTTTGCAATAACTAATATATTATTTGTTTATCAACTAACATCGGACTGGGCTCAAATTTTTTTTTTATAAAAAGTTCTTTCTAAAATGTTTAGTTTTTTTTAAATGAAAAAAACTGTTTTTTGTAAACTTTGGACGCTATTTTGAAAATGAAGCCCTAACATTCAGCTGGGGTCAAGTAGTTCAATCAACTCTAAGGAATTTTGCCTAATTTTTAAGTGTATTTGTTTACTGAACTAAATTTTGGAAAAAAATGAGGTATTTTTGAGAATTCGACTGGCCTAGTTGAGCAACACATCCAATCTTACGAAGATATAGGATAGATCGATTGGTGGATAACATCAAAAGATGAGTTGTTCTTTTGATGCAAAATCCGTATGTTTCCAGAAAGATGGGAAAAGTGGTGGCTATCAATGGAGAATACTTTGAAAAATAATAATGTATAACTCTTCACAATAAAGCCTTGAAATTACAAAAAAAAAAACGTCAAAATTAATTCACAGCCCTAGTACATCATAATAATCACTTTGCAGATAATTATTTTGTGCTAAAATGTATTAATTTCAAATATAAAGGTGAAAGGTGGCTGCAAGAAAAGTGAAATACAGTGTATATATATTTTTTTGTTATAAAGTTTGACTTACCATTCTAGAATCCATGACGGCTTTAGCCATAAACTTCCCCATAAATCTGTACTTGCTTTTAATTCTGGTTATTTGACTGACTTTCGCTCCTCTCGACAAAGGAATGGGGAATAGGCCGACGGGGTTATGAACGTACTCGTTCTCACTTGAGCCAGGCGCATTCCACAATTCTAAGCTAGTTTTTTGCAACTCCTTAGAGACTAAAGCGTAAAATTCTAGAGTTGGTCCAAGACCGGTACCAACTTCATTTTCGTATTGCACTTCTAACAAGGCCTTAGACGTAGCCAAATCCTGCATCACCTGCTCCGCCTGTTTTAAAATGTCGTCCCTGGATATTGTACGTTTCCGTCTGTCTAATCTGGGCGTTACCCGCTCTTGAGAATCGCTCGAGCTCAACTCCGGCGACATATCGAGCAACCTTTGTAAGGCACGGTCTCTATCGAAAGAAGTTGCATAGAAGAGAAGTTGACGTGTTTCAAACGGGAATAAGAAGGGACACACCGATGCTATTTGTTGCAACCAGTTTGGCAGATTTCCTGTCATGATGACTAGAGGGTCCTGGAGCTGACGACTGGCTTTGGCAGCTATTTTGCTGTTTAAAAATTCAGAAATTGGTAGTATAGGCTTGTATTCTACGGTAGGATATAGGGTGCTCCAGTACATGTTGAGTGCGTTGAGGATTCGTAATAAGCATAAAACTTCCAAGGAGGCGTCTTGAATAGTAACAGATTCAGGAAGCTGAGTAACCAAAAATGGCGACAAAGGAGATTGTATTGGAGGGGTAACTCCTTCTGAAAAATAATAAAACTCCAATAGATGATATTTTAAAGATAAAAAAGAACGAAGTAGGTTCAATATACAAGGCGTTTCCAAGATTGGATAAATTTAAATTTTAGCCGTCAAAATAAGCAAAAAAGTTCTAGAAACAATGTGCAGTAACAATTTGTTTTCGAAACGGAGAATATTGAATTTGATAAAAAATCATATTTTCTAAAATATATCTGTGATCAAATTTTGTCTAACAGGGTTCGTAATTCAAAAGTAATAAAGAATTCCGACTTTTCCAGGTTTTCCCTGACAAAAAAAAAATCCAAATCACTTGTAGTTCATTTTTACATACTAATTGATGTTTATGCATTAAACTTTTTCTTGACTGGACTCCATATTCTTTTTTATCCCTAAAGAACCTCATAAAGATTTCAAAACTGCAAATAGTTTTCTTTTTCAAGATTCCAGGGCCGCTTTCACAAAATTTCCAGTAGTAAACCTCAAATTCCCCGACTTTCATAAATATTTTTAAAATTCCTTGACTATTCCCTGTTTTTTTTATGAAGAATAATGAATTCCCCGACTTTTCCCAGTATTCCCGGTCGCTATGAACCTTGTCTAATGATCTTATCTAACTAAAGGTAAACATTCACTGAATTTATTATATAAATAGGAATAGGTCAACTAAAAATTCCACAAATTCTACACCACTGGATATTTCGGAACTTTTATTTCTGTTCCTGTTTCTAAGAATTATTTCATTTCATTCAATAAATGGACTATTTAAAAGTTATTACTTTTTTTAATTTACAATACCAAAAAAGTTTATGGGATCCTTTTCTAACCCTCAAAGGTCACACTAGTGCGACTTTGTACCACCGTAATTTTTAAACAGCTGGCATTTCACAGGTAACAGCTGCTGAGGGTTCCCCCACCACGATAATTCTTCTAAATCACAAAGAGTCAAGCTGTACCACAGCTAGCCTCAGTCCGTTATTGTCGGCCAAACTAGAGAGTCTGAAAAGTCCGATTGGTGCAAATTCTCACTATGACTAGTGTGGGCAAAAGTGTGGCTGAATATTCAGGCTATTACAAATTCGCTTCTCACTACAGGGATCTCGGAAACAGTAAGATACGATGTAGCTTAAATGGGGCCAAGTTGCATAATCAGGGGACCAACATTATGCCTCTAAAAAATCAAGGCTAACATGATTAGTTTTCGAAATATTTGAAAAAAATACTAAATTTTGAAAATCTTTTTGTTTCATTTCAGCCTTGTGTGAGGTAATATTGAAAAAAAGAAAACACTTTCTCATGGTAACTTTTTGCCCTCTATCGAATGTCATAATCAATTTTTATATGTAACGTTTTGTCTCTCCAGGACCATCATCAACTTAATTTTTTTAAATACGACCGTGGAAATTTTCCGAGAAATCGAATGATGTAATTAGGTTTGAAAAAAAAAAATATTTGTTAATAAAAAATGTAATGCAAGCCTTCATGCATTTTTTATTAACAAATAATTTTTTTCAAACCAAATTACATCATTCGATTCTCGGAAAATTTTACCCCAATTTTGATATAAATAAGAAATGTTATGCTTTCGTTAATAAATAAAGAAGACATAAGGGTTTAAAGTTGGCAAAATCCCAATTCGCACTAGTGTGACCTTTAAGGTGGCCCACCCCAAGTTGTGACCTTTGAGGGTTAATAATCATGAAAATTTGATTCCAATGTAATAACGATGTTGAAAATATCATTTTTATAAAAAGAAATTTTTCAACAATGATTTTCCATGAATTGTAGTTAAAAGAGCATTTTCTGAAAAACAATGTAGAAATTTTGAAAAAATATGTCAACTTTATAAATTTTAATTAATTCTTCATTAAATATAAAATAACAATTTTAATAAAAAAAATTCTACAACTTTTAGCCCTTACTTCAGCTTATCTGATAGCATAGCTTATAAATCAATGGTATCTGCACTGATTTTTTAAGGAGAATTCTATAAATCCAGTGATTTCATGTAAGTCGCTAAAAACTCTATAATAATTGAAAGAAATGGAAGAAAACCATGACTGCCATATTTGACTATTTGTCATAAATTAGACAAAAATTTGATATGCAAAACATATCTAAAAGTAACATTAAGATATTGAGATACGGCTTTCGTTATTTAATTCTTCTTGAAATTGGATCATTTTATCGATCTCCTCGGGGTATACGACCAATAACTCAAAACTATTGAAATTGAACCACTTTACAGAAAATACGAGTAGTGAAAATAATTACCATTCCATAGATCATCTCCTTTACGTCTTGAAGTACTTTTACTGGAAGACCCTTTCCCTTTTCGACTTGAGTGACTTGATGAAGTAACATTACTACTTCTTCCTGATGATGTAGGTTCTTCTTTTAATGGTCTATAATAAATTACATGTGTTTGGACCCAAATTCCAGCATTACCTAAAACAATTTATAATTTTTTTGTAAACAGAGTAAAATCTCAGTCACTGTTATCCGAGGCTGAGGTTATCTGAGTCTCTGATTATTGGAACTGGTTTAAATTTTCCGAGTTTTCAATTATTTGAAACTGCATATTATCTAAGTTAAGCAATGCAGTTTCCACGATATAAATTTTTGTGCCTGTTCTGGTATATCTGAATGGAAATTATATTTAAATACTATCACGTTTGAAATGAAGTATTACATATTTGTGATATGGAATAAAAAACAGAAAAATATTATTGTTATAATGCAGAAACATTTGGAATATCCCAGTTTTCAGTTATTCGAGATATGACACCCACATTACTTCCAATAAGTGAGCTTCCATTGTAATGCGTGTTTGAGCTAAATTGATCTCGTCAAAGATTTTTTATATTGAGTTTTGGAATAACATAATTGGTATGAGGAAAGTTTATGTTGGAAAAATTTGGTGGAGCTCTTGGTAGTTACAATTATATCAAGTATTGCACTTTCCAATTCTTGTCACTTTTTTTTTTAATTAATACACTTATATCCCGAAAATTAAAGATCTTTAACAAATGTCGATTTTTTTATTTTTTACATTATGCAGGCTATGTGTAAACATATATTATCTTGAACAAATACTGTAGTATTCATTAACATTTTTGATTTTTGTACTGTAGGTTTTGTGAATGTCAAAAATATCCATAAAATGATGGGGATATTGAAAAAGTTGAAAAATAAAAATAAATTTTAAATGCCAGAGTTCACAGTATTTGAACTGTTTTTCTAATTCACAGAATAGTGTTCCGACTTAATTTAATGACGACACTTAATTTGATGTTACAATTTTTTTAGGTTAATGATTAAAAATCATTAAAATCAATTGTTCAAGTTGTGTTTCTATATGAAGTTACAAAGAACATGAACATTGGGATATCAAAATTTTAAGGGTGTTTTTTTATTCAAAATAACTGAAAAAAAAAATTATGAAATTCGCAAAATTTTTTTCAAACGTGTCAAAACTTTTCATTTTCACAATTTTTACCTGCAATGAGGTTCATATTCTTAGAAAACATGTTAATGCATGAAAACAACCATTTTGCTTTTAGATCAAAATTGCGAGCTCCACATTTCCTGTGAACAACCAACTCGGATGACGACCTTTGGTGGACAACAGCCCATAGCTTTGGTATATTTTCAACACAAATGAGTTGCAAAAATTATTTGTAAATGTAGTTCAATATTAATAAAATAATGTCAAAGTTTGATTAAATTCTAATCAATTTATTCCACACAAAATAAATTCATGAGAAACGCCTGAAAATCAGTCTCCTATGTGGTTTCTCCCCTTAATTTAATGACGACACTTAATTTGATGTTACAATTTTTTTAGCTTAATGACTAAAAAAAACATTAAAATCAACTGTTTTCTTTAACTCTAAAAAACTCAATTATATATATATATTTTAAAATAATAATTGAAGAAATGGTAACCGCAACATTTAAACCACCACGAGTGACACATCAGTTAATGCAAAATTAAAAATACTTATTAAAAGCTGTCCCACACTCGACCGCGAAAACAGGCGTATGGTATTATCAAAGGCTTTCCTCGCGAGCCGCGGTCCTTCCTTTATCCCAACGACGTATTCTGAAGGCAATCTGTTCGTGCTTTCTATGTGGAATTTCCACTTTAAAAAGAGTCCTCGGGGAAAATCGAATTTTTTCGGTGCGAAAGAGATACCCAAACTACATCCGATGTTTAGACAGAGATGCAGACAAATGTCAGTGAAGACGTCAAAATAAATTGTCTTTTGACGCGTTTTTCTCGCCGATCGGGCCGCGGCGAGTCGTTATTTTGCCGTTAGGCACCGGATCCGATCTTTTAGAGACGCTACTTTGACGATAAAAGTTGATTTGAATATTTTCAATTTTCTGTTTACATTCGCGGAAATCCAAGATTTCAAATAGCCCGTGTAGGCTTCACCCAGCGTTAGATCGCCGTAGCTCATTGTTATATATTATTATTTACCAACTCACAGAGAATGCACTGAGAGGGCCGAAGGCCCGAGAGAAAGGTTAAGTCTGCGTCAGCGGACTTGCCTACCTTTCCAGTATGTATTTTAAAAGACATGACTAGAAAGGGAGGCAAACTCCGCTGACGCGGACTGAGCACCGCTCCGCGGTGCTTTCCTCGCTGGTTAGTAGATACACTTAAGGTGGCCATATTCCTGGCCGAGAAATAGTGAAATTTCTGGCGTTTTTAGGTACTGAAATCTTTAAAAGTAAAACGTGTAGAACAAAAGTAAGCACAAAAATAAAATCCTTGATGTTTTGTTTATTCATTGTTACCATTTAAATTTACTCAAAATAATAACTAAAAAAAAGCGCGTTTGCTGTTATTCTAACCCCACATTTTAAGAATTATTTTCACGTATTTATAAATAAAAGTAAACAATTTTATATGTAGGACTAAGCAAGTAAATGTTATAAGAATATTTACATGTGGAATTATATATAAAAAAGTTAGTATTTTCGTAGATTTCAGTACCTAAAACCTTAATGGTTTGATCGTTTTTTTGCACCTGTTTATTCGTTTTACTGCGGCGTCTTTGAAAATACTCAGGTGGCATGACATAACATTCCTATTATTTGATAAGCTTTAGATTATTCAGTTATTAAATGTTTGAAATTATTTGTCTTTGCGGAAAACACTATTTAAAGAATATGGGGCCCTTAACATTTTTTGAAACACCCTGTATGTAAAAGTATGATGAGAATGTTTTTCAAAAAAGGGTAGGCCCCGCTCGGGAAAAGAATAAGATAAGTTTCTTCCAAACTTCCAAAAAAGGCATCTGGTTAGTATATATAAAATTTTTCATCCAAAGACTATGTAGGTAAGGCAGAAATGGTAAAAAAATAAGTTAAGACATCTGGTTAATAAATATATAAATTTTCATTAAAAGACTAGTAAATAAATTCAAAGTTAAAAGTGAAAAGAAACAAAACTGCCCTTAATTCTATAGAACATCTAGTATTTGGATTTTAAAAGAAGCGACTTTTCTGCAAAAGATTTAAAGAAAAAATTTAAAAAATGAATAAGAAAAAATCTAGTCCACATGTGTATGTTTTACGAAACATCCTGTACATAAATTGAAAAAAAACACCTGGTTGATAGGATATAAGATTTTTCATAAAAATATGATACTTCAGTACAAAATATAGAAATGGAAAAAACAATAAGGAAATTTTCGTTCTATTCGTAATTTTTATCTGCATCAGTATAGGATGGGTCAATTCTGTGAAATATGGATTTTCAAAAAAATGACTGGTGAGTAAATATACAACTTTGCTTCAGAAGATTAAAAAAAAATGAACAAAATGAAAAAGGAAAAACGTAGTCCAGCTGTGTCAGTTTTATGAAACACCCAGTACATACATTGCAAAAAACATATGGTTAGTAGGGTATAAGATTTTTCTTAAAAATATTGCAGACTTCAGTAGAAACTGTAGAAATGGAAAAAAATATACCTAAGGAAAGTTTCATTCTGTTTGTAATTGGATCAGTTTTGTGGAACATCCAGTATAAAGATTCAAAAAAACATTCGGTTAATAAATATATAATTCTTCATTAAAAGATTTTAGTAAATAAATACAAAGTTAAAAGTGAAAAGGGAAAAAATTGCCCGTTTCAGATGTGGGTCAATATTGGCAATACCCAGTACATAAATGGATTTTCTAAAAAGCGGCTGCTCAATAAATATACAACTTTTCTTCAAAAGATTTCATGAAAAAATTTACAAAATGAATCAGAGAAAATCTGGTCCATCTGTGTCAGTTTTATGAAACATCCTGTGCAAATTGCAAAAAAACATTTGGTTTATAAGACACCGTGTGTAGAAATATCTATTTGAAAATTTAGGTAGGTAGTGAAATGAGAAAAAAATCCTAGTCCGTCTGTCATTTTTGAAACACTCAGTATATAAATTTGCAAAATGCCTCTGAGTTCTACAATATAAAATTTTTCATAAAAATATTGCCACAATAAATTTCTGAAATATACAGAAGCCTCTAGACCGATAATTTTAACTTGGATCAGTTATGTAGAACATGCAGTATACGGATTTTCAAAAAAACCCTTTGGTTAGTAACTATATAACTTTTCATGTAAAGATTTCAATAAAAAATTTGTAAAATTGAAAAGAAAAGTAAAATCAAAGTTCACCTGTGTCATTTTTATGAAATATTCGGTACATACCTTTGTAGAAAGCATATGATTACTACGATATCAGATTTTTCATAAAAATATTGCAATCAATAAACTGAAATATATAGGAGCCTCTGGACCGTTCGAGTTTCAACGCAATTTTTTAGACGCCCTGTATATAGAAACCTATTTGAAATTTTATATTTTTTTGTTATAGAAAGGTTTAAAAAGATGAATCCATATATAAAATTAAATTACGGCAGTATATAAAAAAAAATCTTAGGTTACCTCGTCTGAGATTGAACCACTGACCTTGCGAATACAACNTATATATATATATATAATCTTAGGTTACCTCGTCTGAGATTGAACCGCCGACCTTAGGAATACAACATGGCGTTTTTACCGCTGTGCTATCGACTGCTTCATCCACAATCCGTCTGTACTGATATTTTAATTGTCATTCACAACTGAAGTAATCAACAATTTTTGTAATGTTAAATTTGCATTTCTCTAACACAAAGTCGTCTCGCAAAAGATCCACAATGAGATAAAACAGATAAAAAACATTCCATGACTTGGAAGAGTAGTTTAGCCCCAATTTATTTCTATAATTCGCAACTTTTGATGTATGGGGAGTAAGTAATGCAATATAGTAACTAACGAAGCAAATGTACTAATACAAAGGTTCAAGGGTTTAGGTACTATGGATTGGTTTAAAATTATGTACCTAGTTTTAGAGGGCAAGTACTTACGTTAATTCGGGGGACAGGTATCGTAATCGTAGGCATGTTAAGCGGTAGAGCTGCGAAAATGTAAATAACCTAACCTAATAATAAGAAATACCTGTATATGTCGTGGCGTAGCAATGTATTAAGGTTAAAAAAAGGTCTAGTAAGGTAAAATAACGGTTCGCCGCGACCCTACAGACGCCTTTCGTGTTTGGCGTGAAATTATTTTAGACATAATTAATCTGACATTTCTAACGACATTCGAATTTTCTCCGAGTGGGCGTGTCTTAAAGCTTCAATCTTTACGGCTTGCGAAATGGTCGTCTGTCGTCGAGGTGACCTCAAAAAAAGGCAAAATTAAATATGAAAGCGAGAAAAAAACGTTACAAAAATGCCCCTGAACGACTAAGGAGGAACGACTGAGTATCTGCCAAGTCGCATGCCGTTTCGAGGCTCGCGAAGAAGGAATTTTGTGGGGCAAAATTCACATTTTTCGGTCTTCCTAGAGAGTTTTAACGTATTTACGGCCGTATTTCAAATCCTGTATTTAATTTCGCAGAAAGTTCTACGGAAAGAGCGTGAAATAAGCACCCGGTCGATAAATATGAGTATTTTCGGCACAGTTTTAAATAAAATATTGTAGAAAATAGGGGAAATAAAAAATAAAAAAGCCGTACCCGCGCGCAATTCGTGGCGATCGGCGACCGTCAGATTTCAGCGGGAGGGCGTGTCGGACTCGTGCGTTTCACACAAAAATTGGGCCGCGCCCCTCGCAGAGCCTGAAGAAAACTGAAAATTCACCGCGAAGACGGCAAAAAATCGCCATCAAAATACGAAGTTCGGACGAAGGAAGGCCGGCGGGAGACTTCGCCGTTGCACGGCTCGCTCGAAAAGCCTTGGTGGCAATAAGTCGGCGCTTTTTCGGGGCGATTGTGCGACGCAGACGGAGCTATCGGATTTTAATATATATGGATTATATAAAAAAAATATTTTTTAAAAATTGATATTGATTATTTACTTACCTAAAGGAGTTTCATTATCTGTGTCTGTCTCACTCTGATCATTGCCATTATTACTAAATTGTCTCACAGCCTGGTAAACAGTCATGTTATATGGGAGCACATTATTACCTATAAGGAACTGTAACTTGTGCCTGGTTCCAGTTTGTGATATCACAACTCCAGCTAAAGTATCATCTATATCATCATCGGAATCGCCATCGTCACTATCAGCGCTATCTTTATCTCTAAGTCTACCGTACCCTCTAACTACCAAGTAGCGTTCTATTGCCTGCACGAGGGCCAAGGGATCTATTTTAACTGTGCCGCCTTTCCACTGCTTCAAGTTGGAACAGTCTGGATGTCTTTGAAGGTTGCACTAAAATCAGAAAAGTAATTAGAAATATAAAAGAATGTATTCGATATACTCTACCTTCAGCTGGTGGGTATTGAAAAATTTCAGAGCGCTAGTTCCACCCCGCCCGGCACCTGAACTGGCGGGGAGGTCATGAACTTTAACTGGAAACTGTTCCAATTGCGAAACACAGCCATTCAGTTTGGCCACAAGGGCACTCATCCATGTCGAATTTAATTCACCGATACTTGTCACATTGTACTCTAAAGGACACCCTGCAAATACGTTTAGCAAAATTCTAAGCCTCTGATCCCTGTCATAAGGCCCATTTATATCTGCTAAAAAGGAGAGCAGCGCCTTGATAAGACCCGAATAATTTACTTCGAAGGGAGATATATCCGATTCCATAAGTATTTCCCTAAGTTCTATCAGAGCATCACCACATTTAGTTGTAGACAGTTTATCAATGGCTAACTTGAGACGAATGATCACACTCGTTGCTGGATGGGATTCGTCCTCACTTCCAGAGTACGACTCGATAAATTTAGAAGCCTAAAAATTTTATAAACAAACAAAATTTAACACACAAATACTAAGAAATATATGTTATACGGAGTCTACTCTAATATTAGTTACCTGCTCCCTTATCCAAGTCCTGGTCTTTTCACGGTTTCCAGCTGTAATATTTGAATTTGAAGCGGACTTTGACAAATTATTTAAAGAATCTTTACTATAGTTACGATCATGAGAGGAATTCATGCTTCTACCCCATCTAGCAGGATTGAGACTTTGTAGAAAACTCGTTTTGGAACTGGAACCAGAATATCTGGGCCGCGAAGGGTTGCTGAAAAAGTAATTGAAAAATTTTGAAGAACTATACAGGACGATTTATTCATATAAAATTGAGGAACGACAGCTTATAATAAATAGTAAATGGTGATGAAAAAATGCACTTCAAGATTAATTGGAAATAAATCAGTATCAGAGTAGAGTACTACAACAGCTGTTTCAAGTTATTTCCTTCATTTAATTATTACGAGTACAGTTGGATGATCAAGGAGGCCAAGCGTTGGATTTCCTTGGAATATCGTCTTCAAGAAAACATGTTTAAATGTTTTTGTACTTGTTGCTCAAAATGTGATGGAGCACACAAAAAATCACATATCCTGTTCTGAATCTAGAGATTAATTTTTTCAAAGAATGCATGTAAAAACTGTATACAGGGGTCCCGAAATTCATGCAACAAAATTTGGTCATAGATTCTTAAAACAAATTTAAAAGACCCCTATTTTTTCTTTTTGCCAACTGGCCCCCTCTTTCGGAATCACAGCCCCCTGAAATCTGCCCCTAAGAAGTCTTTTTTATATCTCAAAACCATGTACGAGAATCACTAAATTTGGTACACAGGGGTTTTATTATATGTGGAATCTCACAGTGCTACGCTTTTTGGCGAGAAACCCCCTTAAGACACTTTTTCGTGGGCTCTCCTCTTTGGAACCAAAAAAAATTGGTCGTAAATTTAATTTTTTTAAAAATTATTAGTTAGCTAGAAAGCCATTGAATTTAGAAACTTTTTTGTTTCTTCATATTTTTTTCATAAAACGCAATGTTTTAAGGAAAATGGAGAATCACATCATGCATTTGATCACATTTTGACATTTTTCTCGAAAACATTGCGTTTCACGAAAAAAGTATCAAGGGACAAAAAAGTTTCTAAATTTAACGGCTTTCTAGAGGACTAATAATCTTTAAGAAATTTAAATACGAGACCAAAGTTTTCCCCACCAAAAAGTGTAGCACCATCAGATTCCACAGGTCATAAAACTCCTTTGTACCAAATTTAGTGATTCTCGTATAACGGGGTTCTGATATAAAAAAAAAAAGATTATTCTTAGGGGCGGATTTCAGGTAGCTGTAACTCCGAAAGAGGGGGCCACTTGGCAGAAATAAAAAATACTGGTCCCCTAAATTTGTCTGAAGAATCTGTGACCAAATTTTGTTGCAATAATTTCGGGACATCCTGTACAAACAGCATCAGTTAAATGATTTAGCGATATGAGAGAACCAATAAGTAAAACAATTGCAGGAGTTTTTAGCAAAATTGGTTATTTGGTTCCCTTTAACTTTTATCGTAGAATAATATTCAGTGATAAAACTATACATTTTTTTGATACAAACATCCAATTGAGAAGGTGCACCCATAATGTTATGACTACAATATTAAACTGTCCACTAATTTGTTATAACAGATGCCGAATAAACAAATGATAATGACAAAATTGTTGTAATTTAAATGTTTTGACACTAAAACTTACCTTGGTGTGGAGTTACCCAGTGAAGCCGCTTTAGTAAACAAATCTTGCATTAATGAAGGCGACAGAGGAAGATCCTCATGCCTTGTTTTCGACCTGCTAGTGCCACTCGCTCGTTTCGTAACCCTTTTTCTTTTGAGAACATCACTGAGACGGACATGAGAAGGACTAGGCGAACGGGTATCTGAATCCTGCAGACGTTGGGTATAAGGTGTAGAGGAGTACATGGTGGAAGAAACAGGTGTACTTCCTAAAGAAGCAGAACCATTTGCTGTCTGCAAACTCGTACTACTGGATGGCTGAGAGGTTCCCGGTTGAGACTCGTTTAAAGCAGAAGAAAATGACGTCGAGCTGCAACTAGACTTGGGAGGGCTTACTCCTAAAGGAACCTTCAAAAAGAAAGAATATATACATACGTTTAATAATGAAACAAAATTAAAACATTTAATTTTTGATTATAAATATTTTTAAGTTAACACCATCGGTAAATAAGTTTTATGCAAATGTTTTTATTTAGGAAAAATCATATTTCTCCCATACTAGTTTCTTTCTACTTTTTCAAGAATGACTTCTTTTTAAATCCAAAACAGCTTAATGAAAGATTTACAGTAATAGAAAAATGAATTCAATGCCTTAATAAATATTGCATTTTTTCAATCTGTATGTAGGGTGTCTCAAGAAACTGTGGTTATACAGTAATCATAGTTTTTCAGGTAAAAACAACTGACTTTGTTAACTAAAATTAGTTCAAAAATTCAGGATGTTAAAATTATAATTTTGAAATTGTTTTTCATTAATTTATGAAAAGTGACGTATAATATCTGCTTCATGTTTGGTATTACTTATAAGGCATAAGAAAAAAAAAATATTTCAAACATCTCAATCAATTAGAAAATAATTTATCTATTTGTTGACTTTGCACAAAAAATGCGATTTAAATAAAATTACTATATTTCGAGCTAAAAGATTCTATTTGCTAATTCAAAATAAATAAAAAAAAAGAAAAAAAAAAGGAAAAAAGTTTAAATATGCCGAATTAAGAGAGCAGAACTTTATCTAGAGAGGGATCAGAGTTTTGGAGCCTGTCACAGAAAATTAATATGTACTTAAATATATCAAAACGTTACTACGAAATCATGTTACCTCAAATTAAGCTTGGAAAGCATGCTGGCTCAGATCTTTAACTAAAAACATGCTACCTCACACAAAATTAAAATTGATTATATAGAAATTAAGTTGGCTGTATTGATTGGCGTTGAAATGCACATTGAATGATTGAAACTGTGCACTTACAATAATCTTATATATTTTTCAATTAATTTTGTTAACTTACTGTTATAAATGATAAAATTGTTAAGTAAAAAAATCGAATAATATTCCTATAAATCAGATAAGAGTGCGCTATTAATTTTTATATGAAAGCAAACTTGTATGAAAAAAATCTAATAATTTTTAGTAATAATAAACATTTTTAGATATTAAGGTATACATACACTATTTTTTTTATAATTTGTTATTTCAAAAAACGTCGAGTAATGTACGTGTTGCAGCGTACTGCATATTATTCTATTTCTTTAATTAACAATTTTGTCGTTTATAACAGTAACTTATTGAAAAATGTTGAATGAAAAAAATAAAATAAAGTGTACCTGAACATAAATATTCCTTACTTTTTGAAAAATATATTATATAAGTTTATTATAAGTGCACGGTTTCAATTATTCAATGTGCATTTCAACGTAAATGCAGCCAACTTAAATTTCTAGTCAAACTTTCTTTTGTGCGACACAGTATGTTTTTATTTAAAGATCTGAGCTAGCATGTTTTCCAAGCTTAATTTGAGGTAGCATGTTTTCCAAGTACAATTTTTGATAGTATGTTTTCCAAGCTAAATTTGAGATAGCATGTTTTCGTAGTAACGCATCGATATGTACAATTTAATAACATGCAAATGTGATTCTTACGGGCTTAAGCATTTTTAGTAAATGTATGCATAAGTACCATAACCATCCCAACACCTGCATTTGAATTTGACTTCTTTCAACCTTTTTTTCTAAGTTCACTATTAGTTCTAAACATAACAAAATAATCTATATGCTTCCAAATAGACAATGCCGATAACACCGATGTCGAAAAACTTTTATATTTTAGAGAAAAATGATTTTTAAATGTCTGTCATGTTGTCAGCCAACTTCCAGTCAGTTTTTGTTCGTTGTTTATCACGTTAATTATTACTTTTTTGAACTTCTTTATGCTTAATTCTAAAAAATAATTAGCATTGTAATAAACTAAAAATTTGATAAAATTCATATCTAGCAATGTGACAATGGCATGGCGGATAACACGAGATACTAAGCTGTTCAGCATTACACAATTCAGTGGGTATCTGGAATTGGCCATGTCTGTGTTTTTTGCGTGCCACTATTTCTTTTTCTGGGAGTGTTTTCCAGCGAGTGTGCGAAAATTGGATTCAAAGGGTCATGCGTGCATCGAAAATGCTGATGGACATTTTGAGCATATGTTGTAGTTTGTTTTATATTTGTGCGCTTAAGAATTACTGAATTTTGCTTTTTGGAAAGTACCTAAATTATTTTTAATACTATGATTATTTGGATGACGTGAATCTTTGGGTACTTTAATTACATTTATTTCAAATCCATAATTTGATAAAAAATTAAGTTCCTGTTTTAAGAGATTCATAATTACAGTAAGACCCCGCTTAACGCGTATGATACGTTCCATCAAAGTAGAGCGTAATGCGAAACAGCGCTAAACGAGGCTATCTTAACATGTAAATAATGGGGTTAGGAAAAGAAGGATAGAAAATTGGTTAGGTATTAAATTTAATAATTATGTTTTTTTTAATAAAAATAAAACCAAACATTTATTTCTTACAAAAATAAAAACAATATAAACGTATATTACTTATAAAAACAAATAAAATTCTAAGTCAGTCAGATCATTCAGTCTATTCTGTTTCCAATTTTCTGCCTTTTTGTCAAGAAGGCACCTAATGTAGTTTGCGTTTTCCTTTTGCATTCTGTTAGAAGTTGTTGATAAGTGGATAAAGCATCTATAACATCCTGTCTTGCTTTTGAACTCCTGTCAAAATTTGGATCATTTTCAACAAATTGGTCCATAATTTCAGTTATAGTGGTCAAACTCCTTTTTACAAATATCATCGAAAGTTCTTTTTGCTCTTCTTCGAAATCACTATTATCAATATTTTTGTTTTCTTCAAACAAGAAATACAACTACTCTGTTTGGGATAGGTTATGTACATATTTGGAAACCTAGCGCTGCGCACAATTTCGGGGAATCCCCGGGTTGAAATAAGAGCGTTAAACCGAAACAGCGCTAAACGAAACAGCGTTAAGCGGGGTCTTACTGTACTAAAATTCGAGCTAAAATTTAAGCACATCTTCATTACTACAAAATTGATACATTTTATTTTATTTATTTAAAAACTGGAAAACAATCGTCTTGAAATTTACTAAATGTTCCACAATAACAGCTGTTTACATTTTTTCCGTAGGACAAGTCTGCCGCGTGCACACGTGGTATGCACCAGCTGTGTAGCGTTAGGTTAAAACTGTTGACCTTACGCCCCTGTAATATACAACTTTTTTGTTCATTTATGATTACTCTTATGCTGAAGTATTGGCAATCAAACTTCTTACACTCTGTAATAGCTGTTTTATTTACCTGAGATCTCAGTTAATCTCAATTAATCTGGATGCTCAGTGGTCAGTTAGGTGAAATTAATTGACACCACTGGTAAATAAAACATAGTAAATGTAAAATTTAAATTTACACAAAATGTAGGTACTTTTGTTAAGTAGTTCCCATTTTACAGAGTAGCACTGCAGATTCAGCTATTTTTGAAATATATCGAAAATTTACTTTGCGAAAATGTCATATATTGTATTTACACAAAAAACTAAGTTTATAGGCAAATAAATAATGTTTAGTTATTGTAGAAATTTTTTTCTATATTATTATGCATAAAAGTATATAACCATTTAACTGTAGTCATTCGAATGCAGTGTTAAGTATACAGCGAGGGGCGATCCGCTAAGGAAAAAACGTACGAAGATTACAAATTTTCTGAAATCTCTTGTAATGTATCTGCAGATTTCAATATCAATTAAAAAAAGATTTCAAATTTCATATAAATAATCAAGATTACAATATCTTCCAACATATTTCAAAACATTTCAGGAGTTATTTTAGTAGATTTCAATGACTATTTAAGATTTCAATAGGATTATTAGAAATTAAAAGATTTCAAAATTTCTTAATAAGGTTTCAAGGAATACGCATTTGAACAAAAATAATTGGATTAACTTCAACTGTCAGTTATTTCATTCATTAACAGCAGTACTTTGATTAAGAATTTCCAGTATCAGGCATTTTTTACGCAAGAATTGGAACATTCTGATTAAGTTTTTGTTCGAAGAACGTTAAAAACTTTTTGTCATGATAAAAATGATAATGCCATTTTTAAAGTTAGGTAAGTACCTATATATTTTTAATGAAAGATAAACATATAATAATCCAATATACTAATAAAAATAAAAAAATTAAGATAAAATAAACATTTTCCCAAAAAATAAATAAAAAAAATGTATTAAGCTTTTACGGAATGTTTAAATATCATTAAAAAAAACAGTAAAAATTAAATTTATCCAAAACCGTTTTGAGGTATTATAATGAAATTTTAGGCGTGTCAATAGCTAACGATTTTTTAGTCTTACCAGTGGCGTGCGTATTGGAACGTCACTAGCTATGTTTAAAGAAAAAAATAGCACGCCGCTGGTTTTACTAAAAATAAAATTTTTGAATTCCTTGTTCAATTATGAAGAAAAAAAGCTTTCTTCAGATTATATCGTACGACGCAGCGTTTATGAGTAAAAAAATAAAAACCCTTTTATTGTGCGCCTAAAACCAATGCTAATTTATAAATTTAAATTATTGAACAAAGAAATTCAAATTTGATTGATTTTTGAAATGTGGTAGTGTTGTTTGTAGTAAAAATAAGGGACTGCGGTTTTGAAGAAATTTAATTTTTACTGGTTTTTTAATGAAATTTCAACATTCTGTAGATCGGTAACTAAGTGTTTGCGGATCTATGTTTATAGGAACTCTTTTTATAAAATGACCTGGGCAATCACCCCCTTAAATATTGCTGCGTCTTTTTTAAACACCCTGTATAACTACCTCGCCTCGGAACCTATTTAAAAGTTTGTTTAAGGCGTATATAGGTTTTATTAACATTTATTAAATCACTCCTAGAAATCGTAAAAGGTTCATTTCCGACTAACTTTATTGGCCCATAGAATATGTATTTTTCTTCGACTAATTGCACATCATCTATTTTAGGCCACATGTATTGCTGTAGTAAATTCTCTTTCAAAAATTTAATGTGAAATTTTTCTTTTTTTTTTCCTATAACCCTACCAGGATTAATTGTAATATACGGCAAAGTAGTTCTCAAATTCTATAGCAACTTTTTTAATATTATTCGATTGCTTCTAATACTAACAAGGATCCATCTGCGCTTATATCCGAAGTAGAATCCGAATTGGAAGTACTGCTAAGTTCTGTTAGGTAAAGATCTTTGAAAATTTGAGCTGGTTGTAAATTTCGAATTTTTTATTTACTATCAACAATATCATTTTTTGCAACTACAATATAATTTAAGTCCTCGCGAGAAATAGTTTTAAAAATGTCTTCTTCCAAGAATTCAGTAAAATTTAATAGATTGACAATAATTACACGGAGATTGCAAAGATTTCAGAAACGATTACATAAAAATTCCAGAGCAAACGTACGAAGATTACATCAGCAGATCGCCCCTCAGTATAGTGTAAGCAGTGGCGGCTGTTGACTTCCATACCAGAGACGGCGGAAATATTTAGGTACAAAATATTGAAAAAAAAAAAAAAAAAACAAATGAAACATAACTTGGCAGTTTTATTTTAAGTACTATTGAAATATTGGGAAAATGTGCTCAACATTATTTTTTATAGTTATTATTCTTCTGCTTTTGTCCGAAATAAGCATTTCAATAACTTTTTCATTAAAGTTTGATATTTTTCGCACTATTGATTTTTCAATAAATAGCATTACAAGTGCTGTTAATTTGTTTTTACGATATATCTAATTTAAACAATTACAATCTTTTAAAAAAACACAAAAAACGATACGTGTACAAAATTTTAATCCACACGTAAACAAAATTTAATTTAATAAGAAAGGAAAGCAGTGAATACCTATTATTTGGGCCAAATTGCATAGTAAATATAGGCTACTTCCCCTCCATGTTTCAATGCTGCGTAGCAGTAACCATGGCCACCACTATAAACACTTTACAGATTTAAGGGCACAAGGAGCCCACATATTCAGTGTTTTTCAATTTTGCAAGTCGAGTTAAATTGACTGTACATTACAAAAACATTTCCCTTTTAAAGTGTTTTATAAGACTATTTTGCTATGAAAATTTCCAGGGGGGGAGGGGGCGTCTCCCTAGAGCGCCCCCGCACCAGCGGCCACTGAGTGTGCGGGTTGTTATTTTTACTTATTCTTTTTGTCACAACTACATTTCACCGAAAGCCACTAAAAGTAGCTTTAAACTAGTGTTCAGGGCATAATGTTGAAAATAGAACACAAATCTTTTATGATCGGATTTGAATGCTTGACCTTCAATTCAATTTCGACCACTTGTCATTTACTCTAATTCTGAGATGCTTTAAATATCTGAACTTTAAAGAGGTGAATCAATTGTAACAAAAAATTTCTTTTTGCTGTAAGTACATGGTACATGAATTAATTGGGAAAATTCCAAAAAATAATATTTCAATTCTCTTTAAATTTGCATAATCAATTAATCTCAAAAGAATAGAAAAAAGTTCTTATAAACATAATTGTTGAAATGTGTCACTTCCCATGTATACAATTAGATGCTTTTATTTTTTTTTCAGAGTAGCGAATTGAATCTTCTTTTTCCTTGAAATCTGGCAGTTTTATGAGAAATTGATGAAATATTTTTTGAGCAGAATGAACATATCTTATTTAAAAAAATATATTCTGTTATTAGTTATTGTATTTTTACTTTATTTTAAACATCCAATCAAAAGACGTGAATGTTTTTCGATACCAAAAATCTAGGCATGCAAAAGATATCTAGCATTATAGATAAGTCTAAACTAGTTACATAGAGAGCAACTAATAATTACTTTCAGAAAGGTAGACTCACCTCTGGATCTGCCAGTCGGTTTATCTGATGCAAAACACCTTCTCTTCTAAAATGAACACCAAATTCTTCAGGTAACTTAGTCATTAGAATCTCTGCCATTTGTAAAGCACCCACTACAATCCTTAAATCACTAGATGCCATCATACCGGCGATATGACTACTAACGATTTGATTTTTTAAAACGTCTTTTAATAGTTCCGGACTTGCGTAATACACCATTCTTAAAAGTGCCTTTAAACACTTACACCTTACCGCCGGTCCCGCACTTGATGAATATACCTCATATAGAACCGAGAACAGAGATCTTATAAATGCCGCTGCCAAACCTCTCTCTTCCCTCAGGCACGCGACACGGGCATCACGGCTCGCTGATAAAGGCCTGCTTGAAGTTTGAGAAGGTTCTGCGGGACTAGACTGAACACTTGTCGGTGTGAATCTACGTTGAACAGGTCTCGATGTCCCAGTATCCTCATTAATTTGCTGCATAGAATGGAAGTCTATAGTATAAATTCTTCCTAAAGTGTTGAGACTCACTTCGTCATCACCATTTAAATGAGCCGCTTCGATAATACGACAATCCACAGCACCGTAAGGATGCCAGAGACCGCGGTCATCTCTCCATTGCCAAACTGGTTGATCTTTGGCAATGCTAGAGGGTCTCTCCAATAAAGCATCAACTGCAAATATTCCATCAGTTGGCAGTTTTGGCATCAGTTCACCAATGAGTGCCGTAATTTCAAACTGTTCCTGAGGTTGCCTAAAAATAAAAACTTTTCTTAACTATTTGAAATTTTTGAAAATACCATGCGTCATAGTTTTATGAGTTTCACCATAGGGATCTTGGTTATCGTACGAGATAGGTCAGTCAAATTAGAGCAAAGTTAAAGAATTTAACAGTGAATAATGGCCAAAGAGAAATTTTCCTATTTATTTTTGTTTTGAAATTGTCAATAAAAAACTGAACTTTTATTCATTAATTGAAATCTGAATGATATGGATATTTTAAACTAAGACATTTTGACACTTTTTGTGGAGAATTCAGATATGTGATCACATTAGTCTATTAGAATAGTGAACATTACAGACATTAGTTTTTTTAGCTGTCTGGGGAAATATTAAAAAAAAAACTGAGTTTCAAATTCAAGGTTGGGTTGGTTTGGAGGGTTGAAAAGTTATGAAAAATTGTATCATTGGGATTTCTGGCGAAAGTTGACTTCAAACAAAAAAGTATCCAATGCAAAAGTTGTAGATCATGCAAAAATCTACAACTTTTGTAGAGGTCACTTTTTAACATAACCTCAAAATTTCCTAGAAAAATGCGAAAAACAGGTTTTTTTCAGATTTTTCCTTTTTTATCTCATTTCCGCAAAAATAATTTAATTTTGACAAAACTTGGTGAAACTATACCTTTCTCTGTCTTAAATAACCTCAAATTTTTTTAGATAAAAAAATCAAGAAGTTTCTGAGATATTCGTTTTTTTCGGCCTGAAACACTTTTTTTTCAAAGAAAAATTCTACTTAAAAAAATCATCGTACAGAGTTCTGTCGGTAATAATTTTTTTCGTTTTGACATAATTTTTGGTGAAATAAAAAAATTTGTAATCACAGTTCAAAAACATGCTCAAAAATGCAAATATGTAAAAAAATGACTTGCAGCAATGAATTTTTCAGTAATTGTTGATTTGTTTAAATTAAAAAAAAATCAAAATCTGATTACACCATTCAATTGTATGGAAAAAATACAAAAAAAAATTTCACATTGTTTGACCCAAAACTATTTTTGTAGAATATTGCTATAAACATATGTCGAATAGTGAATAAATAAAATAAATAATAATTTTTTTTCCATAGGATCAATTAGTGTACTTATTTTTTTTAATGTTTGATGAATTCATAGATGTACAGTGTGTCCAAGATAAGGATGGGATAGGCATTAGGATCTAGGAAACGGTAAGAGATATGGGGTGGCTCATATTAGAAAAAAGTTCTGTTTTTTTATACCTAACAATATGCTGTTTTAAAATTAAATAAGTTTTAAAATTCTGGGTAGTTCCGGAGATATCCGGAAAAACCAGAAATTTTACAAAATTGTTTAATTTATTCTGGCTTTATTTGAAAACGAATTTTTAAATAAATTACTAATTTACAATGTCACTTTTTTCGCTCTATACAATGGCGTCAACATTTTTGCAATCCGACGTTTCGTCTTCGAGGGGCCATCATCGGGTTAATTTCTTTAAATACGTCGCTGCTATTTTTATGATAAAATGTAGTCATTTTTAATTCTGAATTAGAGGATATTACATTGTAATCGCTTAAAAAGTTTTTAGCTTGATTTAGCTATAATTTAAATTTTTTCCTGAGTACGGCTCTGAACGCTTTCAAAATATCTATTGGATGATGTCATAACAGTATAAAAGTCAATACCGCACAAAATATTCAACAATTTTTTGGTACTATTAGCAATACTAATTAGAAATAATAAAATATTTCATAAATTCGTATTATTTTTTTATTAGGTACAACTTTTTAAATTATGGATTAAAAAAAATTGTTGGATATTTTGTGCTGTATTGACTTTTATTCTCTCCTCTTTCCTCCAATAAAAACATTTTTTAATGATAGTTAAAAACCTTCTTAAAGGATTACAATAGTAATATCATCTAATACAGAATTGAAAATGACTAGATTTTGTCATAAAAATAGCAGCAATATATTCAAAAAATTAATCTGATGACCCTCGAAGACGAAACGTCGGATTGCAAACATGTTGATGCCATTCATTGGATAGAGCGAAAAACGTGGCAATGTAAATATGCAATTTAATTAAAATTCATTTTCAAATAAAACCAGAAAAAAATAAAACGATTTTGAAATATTTCGGGTTTTCGGATTTCGCATCAACAGTAGACTTTGCTGTTAATACTTTGTATTGCTGAAATCTCAAATCGTCCAGAGATAATTTATTATTTGAGCATTTGTAATTCGACTTAGATGTTTATAGCAATACTGTACAAAAGTTTTGGGTCAAACAATGACACAGTTTTTTTTCATATCTCAGAAACTTCTTAATTTTTTATCTAAAAAAAATTGAGGTTATTTAAGACAGAGAAAGGTATACTTTCACCAAGTTTAGTCAAAATTAAATTATTTTTGCGGAAATGAGATATAAAAAAGGAAAAATCAGAAAAAAAACCTCTTTTTCGCATTTTTCTAGGAAATTTTGAGGTTATGTTAAAAACTGACCTCTACAAAAGTTGTAGATTTTTGCATGATCTACAACTTTTGTATTGGATACTTTTTTGTTTGAAGTCAACTTTCGCCAGAAATCCCAATGATACAATTTTTCATAACTTTCCAACCCTCCAAAACAAACCCTTCGCCGCCCCTGCGCACGCATTTATTTTTTTTAGGTTTATTATAAGCCTTTTTACCATTTCCACTTATAAAAGTCCAGGTAACAATTTTTTTTTCTCCTAGTGTAATTTGGTTGGACTATTTGCATAGAATTAGATGATCTTTTTAAACGAGTGCAATGTTTTTAACTTTGTTTTGTTGCCATAAATATTATTTTCAGTGTTGCTTTTAATTTTAGAAATACGAGTATTTTCGTGTATTTCGGTATATCACTGTCTTACAACTTTTATTTTGTCGTTTCTTTAATTTTAAAAGTCTGATATTTTGTGCCTTTCAGCAGATCTGAATAGTAAAAGCACAAAAATTTTGTGTCAGAGCAAATAACATGAATTTTGTTTATTTGTATCTCACAGTTTGCTATAGGTTACAGATTTTTTTTATTAAGGTTCGGAGGTCGAGGAATAATAAAAAATAACCTCAATTTAGTTATCGACTATTCGTTTTTGTCAATGCCCATCTTGCTTTTATTGATCTTAGAATCTGTCAACTGTGAAAGCAATCCGATTTATAAAATCAGTTGCTATAATTGGAGCACCACTTTGACCAACCAACATAAAAACAACAATTAGACGGATGGCTCTTATCTTATACAGGGTACCCCGGAAATAAGTGCAAATTTCAATCGTGCATTTAACTTATCAAAAGTAATACATTTAAATTGCTTAGTTAAGTGAATAATAAAGAAAAAATTATCTATGCAAAAGTTGTTGAGAATTTTTTTAGATCTGATTAGGGCAATATAAAGTGTTGAACCGAAGTCTTTTTTACATTTGGCAAGTTGGCAACACTGCATTCAAGGCCAAGGTGCTGAGAGCAGAACATGCACTCATTTGTCTCAGTCAGTTGAGAACTTTTGTTGTAGTGGCATGTTGAAAAGAGTGTCGCTATTCCGAATTCCGCCAGTAGTGAGTGAGAAGTGTATTCTGGTTTGTTCTTGCAAAGGAAAATATGCCCTTCCAGATTTTTAACGAAATCAAAACTGTTTATGGGGATGGTGTAATGAATTGTGCTAATCTGTACAAGTGATGTCATGAGTATAAAGTGGGCTGAACAAATGTTTATGATGAACAATGGAGTGGGCATCTCTCAATTGTGACTTGTGAGATGGTGAACAAGATGGAACAAATGCTTTGTGGTGACCATCGATTGACTTTGGATGAGATGAACGCAGTGTTTCCACAAATCTCCAGATCTCTTCTGCATTAAATCATTACTGGAACACCTGGTTATAGAAAATTGTGTGCAAAGTGGGTTCCAGAACAGCTCACGAATCAACACAAAGCCAACAGAATTGCATCTTCACGGGAATTTCGCGGGCGCTTCAAATTGGAAGGTGAACAATTCCTCGACTGTATTGGTGTATTGTGACACAACAAAACGTGGGTAGTCCACTACACCCCTGAGACGAAAAGACAACCAATGCAGTGGCAACATCCGTTTTCACCATAAGCGAAAAAATTCAAAACCGTTGTTCGGAACGAAAAATCATGGCAACTGTGTTTTGGGACTGTAAAGGAATTCTCTTCATAGACTTTTGTCCCAGAGGGAAACTATTAATGCAGCACGGTACTGTGAAACTCTGAAAACACTACGGAGGGCAATACAGAACAAAAGAAGGGGAATATTAACAAAGGGAATGTGCTTGTTGCATAACAATGTACGTCACAGCTAACGTCACAAAGCAACTCTTGGATTCATTCGGCTGGAACATCAGCAACTACCCGGCTTACAGTCCTGACCTGGCACCTTCAGATATTCATCTTATCAGGTGTTTATGGGAGGAAAAAAGTTTTATACCGATGAGTCCACAGTACTGTGAAACAATGGGCCTGAGAGGCGGCGGGAGATTTTTTTAATGAAGGTATAAGAAAGCTTATCCTTCGGCTCACACAGTGAATTGAGGTTGAAGGGGACTATGTTGAAAAATTGTGTTCGATGTACCTTTCTGAATATGTAAGTTTTTCATATTTAGATTTTTAAAAAATTGAGTATTCTTACATTGTGGACATACCTCGTATGATGAAAATTAGGAATTTTGGCAACCAGTAATTTTTTTATACACAAATTTTCAAAACTTTTTGGTAGACTCTCATAGTATAAGCATAATTATACAGGGTAAAAATGTTTCAGGATTTCTCCCTGGCTATCCGATGGTGACCTTGACATTGACCTTGAAGGTCATTTCAAGGTCAAATGTGATTTCTCAAATGGGACCCTATACTTTTGACCCCAGAAATGGAGTGGAAAATTTTATGTTCAGATATGACCTTGAGTGACCCCCTCCCTTTTGACCTTGGGGCCCCCACAAGGTTACACTAACAAAAGTACAGGAACGGCAGAATAACTCAGCGGGAGAGCATTTTAGAGAAAAATGTTGACCTTGATATAATCTTGAAGGTCAAAGTCACCATCGGATAGCCAGCGAGAAATTCTGAAACTTTTGTATTTAACACTTTTCTCTAAAATGCTCTCCCGCCGAGTTATTCTGCCGTTCCTGTACTTTTGATAGTTTGACCTTGTGGGGGCCCCAAGGTCAAAAGGCAGGGGTCACTCAAGGTCATATCTGAACATAAAATTTTCCGCTCTTTTAATTTCTGGGGTCAAAAGTATAGGGTCCTATTTGAAAAATCACATTTGACCTTGAAATGATCTTCAAGGTCAATGTCAAGGTCATGTCAAGATAGCTGATTGGTCGGGGCTTAGGTGCAGGACAGGTGCACCGACCAATCCAGCTCGCGGAGCGAGAGATAGCATGTCCATTTATTCTTCTTTCTCTCTCGCACACCAGTCGCGCTTTCTCAGCACTGATGGCTGCCTCTAGGAGTATATGCTCAACAAATTAGATAGTGTGATCCAAACATTCATTAATCTGAATTTGCAATATTTCGAATTGATTATAATATGCAATAATTGTATTTTATTTTGGTAATCTGAAAAACATGTCATTTGCAACACACTAAACAAAGCTTATCATAAAGTAATTTTTTTTAGTATCTTAATATCCCAAAAAAATCGTAAATCTGAATACACTGCAGCCCGAAACAATTAGGATTCATGGGGTTATAGGGTTATACTGTAAATTAAATGAGAAACTGTATGCAGCTATATACACAGTTGACTTAAACTTCACAAGTCACTGCACCTGTACTGCAAATTCAAACGTTCGATATATGCTTCAACTGTAACGAATTTATCTATATGACGATAACATCTAAACCAGTTGAAGCGATTTCAGTTACATCAATTTGAAATCTTACCTCGGTATCAGCTCTACATCATCCTGATTAACTTCCACTGAACCGGTCAATAAGTACAGAAGAGTTTCAGCAATATTCTGCTTGAGGAGAGTCAGAGCTAGATCTGGGCAATTAGCGCACATGACCGACAACATTCTAAGAACAGTTATAAAGGTTCCTGTGCTGATAATGGGGGGAGTCACGACCAGTAGTTGCTGCAAATTCGTCAGTAACTCAGTACTTGCAATTTCCTGGAGACGCGTCGGTTCCAACTGAAAACTGTCAACTAGCCGAGAAAATGCCAAACATACACTTTCGACGCATTTCTTATCTTGCTGCGTAAGCCTGGATGCGAGCAGAGGTAACGATTCCTGGACATACTGAAACTCTTCTAATGTTAAGTTCAGACAACAGTTTGCTGTTATTGAGAGTGCGTTGCGTTGGGCATTTATCGAGAAGAAGTCTAAGTAAGTCAGACAAGCCGACACACCACGCTGAAAATAAAAAATTCAATGTAATTTTAGGATACACATAATGCATTTTATTAATTTTATACAGGATGCGGCAAAAGTAACTGACACATTTGAGTAGAGCCGGTACGGTGGTGGGTAGTGCTGTATTACAGAGAAAGTAACATGCCATTTTCAATTGTCATCATGAATTGGACTTTAGACCAAACAAGATTTAGCCATGGTTCGAAGCGGTGGATCAGCACTGAAAAGAAAACCAGTCTGGACAACTTTGGACTGTTGAACTTCTGAACATGAGGAAGGGGTAAGAGTATCCATTCAACAATCTCCATACAGTTTGGGACACAAACATGCCACTGCACTTAGGTTTTCTGACCGCGGCGTACGAAGAATTCTCCACTCAGAACTCAAAATGCATCGTTACAAAATGATGGTGCAGGAACTTAAGGAGACTGGGAAAACCGCAGGCCAGTGTGTCTGGAAATTCAGCGATGAGACATATTTTCCCTTGTATGGCAGAGTAAATAAGCAAAATTGGGCAGAGAACAATCCTTATCAGTTGCATGAATGACCCTTACATAGCCCTAAGGTTACTGTATGGTGTGCGATTGCAAATTTTTGGCCTGTATTTCTTTGAACAAGACAATGCGACTGTGAACTCGGATTGATATCGTAAGATGTGGAACACCTTCTTAAGGTCCATACTGAATGAACTTGACAATATGGACAATATTTGGCATCAACAGGATGGGGCAACAGCTCACACTGAGCGCTGTTCTATGAGAATTTTGAGGGAATGTTTTCCAGTCGTTTGATTTCGCTGCGAGGTGACATCGGTTCCCTTACCTGGCGACCCAAATTGAACCCGTGATTTTTTTTTGGAGTAGCCATTTCACAGGAAATGATCGGACGAGTGATGAGCAATTTTCGTGAACGCCTTCATCAATGTGTACACAACAACGACACCCACTTAACGGACATTATTTTTAAAAAGAATTAATAATTATAACTAAAATAGCATTTTAGGTACTTTCAGACGAGAATAAAATAATTTATATACTTTGTTTAGATTATACTTAGCCTTTAAATGTGTCAATTACTTTTGCCATACCTTGTATTACAAATACAAATTTTAATAATTATTTTTGGAAATATGAACAATTAAGTTGTAATTAACAAATAATAGACTTCGATTAAAATCAATGTTTATGTAAAGTAAAAATTTTACTTACTGCTTGAAGAATAGCCTTTGAGTGTCTTCTGGATAGCATGTCTAAAGCTGTCAGGGACTGCTCTGCTACATCCATGCACTGGATTACCTGCAGTTTTTCTAGAAATACAGGTACCGCATCCACAACAACCGCTGATGATCTTGGTAAAGCTTCCATCATGTAAGTTAAAGCTCGACAAGCATGGTTCATCTGAAAAATAAATTATGCCATTTTTATTTTATATTATACTATTATCACATTCCACTGTGATATCGTCATATAACTTTGAAGTTATTTTTTTATTTATTTATTTATTGGGTATTTTGCCACATGAAAATATTTACAAAATTGAAAACTCTTGTGCCAAAAGAATCAGTCAACGGTTTTTTTTTTAAATAATTTTGCCTAAACCTCAGACTGAAAAAAGCAGACAAATACAAAATACACATCACTATATATATCGTGCACTTAAAAAAGTTATTGACGAATTAAAAACAGTAAGTTATAGACGTATACTTTTTATAGCTATAAGTAGATAAAGTCAACCACTTTAAAAAGGAGCAGATTCTTTTCAGTCTGTTCAGTAAAAGCAGCAGTGTAAACGACAGAAAGTCAGAGATCGATTATTTCATCAGGAATGAAATTGTTTATATGAATGAAAATCCACAATGCTTTTTTATGGCTCATATATACTTTAAAATGCCGAATGTGTGGTATGCTGGGGGTAATACAAATCAGTAAGGACATACTTTTTATAAATAAGTTTTAAGTGGATAAAAATTTGTGACCTTGCGTAATTTGTAATTGAAAAGGAGTATATTCTTCACTGTTCTGTGGGTCTATGAATTTAATTTCATAGATAAACTGTTTCTTTGCACCTTTGTATGTAAAATATAGTTACTAATTTGTTATAGTCTTTCCAATCTCAATTGAAGAACCAAGAGGTTGGCAGTATATACCAGGTTCGGTCGCTGACGCAGCAACTTGGCATTGAAATATTTGAAAAACTTGTTCCCATATTTATTTAGCCATACCCATATACAGGTCTGATCACACAAAATGTGGAGGTGGTAGAAATGTATACGCCCAATTGAAGAATGCCCGTGTGGGCAAACGGCATACACAGACCGCCGAACTGGACAACTGGGCAATAAATCTCAGCTGTTGAGAAGTGGTTGACAAATTGTCTAGCAGTGCAGTGCAGCATTGCGGAATTTGGTGAGATTCAGGTAATTTTAATTTATTATAGGCATCTTCTATTAATAATTCATATTACAATTGCAAAAGGGAGAAATAAGAGGGATATTTTGTTTACTATTATTACATGGCATTTTGGAAACCTTTTGAAACGGAACAAACCAAAATTTACCGTTAATATAATAAAATTGTTTGAGGACATAAATAATTAAAATACGTTGGTCAAATGAACATATAATAGAAATTTTCTTCACATTATATAAAAATTATTATAATTTCTAATATAGTCTTTATTTAAAAAATAAGCATACAACAATGAAATACATCACAAAACAAAAACAGTATGTCAAGTCTGTTAGGCGACATATCCTAATTTCTTACTTCTATAACAACTAATATAATAATTATCCAAGTAGTCACTACGAATAACAATATCATGAAATTTAATTAGAAACCCATCTAATCTTTTTACCTTAAGCAGAAAACATTTTTAGGGACGTCTATGAAGCTCATTAAATTTTATTGCTAGGCGTTTTTATACATATTCAACTGACTTTGGAGACTATACAAATGAAATTAAAAAATGTTCCAGTAATACAGATAATGCAGCAGTAATTAAATATATTTATAGCAAATTCATGAACAGAAAACACAGACGTAAGACGTAAGCTTCTAAAGAAGTAAAATAAATGTGTGCCAAAAAAAAACTTATCGGAAACCATTGTTTTATGACCATACTGATTTGTACAATACTGTCGTGAAAAATTGTTTTTTCATTTACTGTTTTAAATTGAATGTGTATTGAAATACATCAGTCTTGTATTAAGATTATTTTAGTAAGACATACAACATTTTAGACAGCTATAAAGATTTCAGGTGATACTTACGATGTCAAAATTATGCTCCATTCCCAATAATGTAATTAGTGCCGGTACAACTTGCTTAACAGGAAATCCTGTCAATATCTCCTCATTTCCCATAACTAAAACTTGACACATCTCAATGACAGCTTGTAATTGTTGTCCCTCATCACCAGTGGCCTGAAGACCAGGAATAAGGGCTTGAGCTCTTGCTACAGCTGAAAATAAATATTGTCCATCAACAAAACTGTTACTGTTTTTTTGCAATAGAAGTTTTATCATGTATTATTGTACTGTACAGGGTGATTTTATTTTAAATTCTTAAATTTCAGGAATGGATTCCTTACTGATAAATAAGTGTATTTATATTATAAACTTTTGTCTCAAATGACATAAATTTTCAAGTCACGGTGTACTATTTTATTGAAGCGTCTTCATGCAAAAAAAAGAAAACCACTGAACTTATTAGATTATTAAATGAAAAAATAAATTTAGGTGGTAATGCTCAAAATCTGAACGTCTCACAATTTTCTGTGAATATATGGTTCTTTCATTTTTTTTTGTAAGAATAAAGATTCTGCATATCTTGGTTGGCAATTTTGTAGGTGGTTAAACGAGAATTGTATACAGTGGATTGGTTAATTATTGCCAATACACAATGAAACAATGAAATAATAATAACAATAATAATAATAATAATAATAACAATAACAATAATAATAATAATAATAATGAAAATAAATAATATCTTCTGTAGGATCAATAGGTTGGTCAATTTGTTCATCAAAATCAAATTTATTATTATTTATTACATAACTTTGTCAGGGGAGCTCTGTAAGATAAGGGTACGGTTTTTGAGAATTTTACTCGTGTTTATCATCAGCAGAAAATGCCAGGTTTCAATTAACAGATTTTGAATAAAATTCCTAAGTTTTAAGTGATAGAGCTACAATTTAAGATCTTCCTTCATTTACAAGTAGAACTTAATTTCATCATTCATCGATCTGTATGCTGCATGCTGTTAAACTGAAAATGTTTCACATTATACTGGGTTCAATAAAAAATTGTGAAACAAATATGAGCTTTCTTTTTAATGGAACATCCATATCCTTGATTGAGATTAACTAATTTCCATAGTATTAGTTTATAAATGGAAAAATATGCAGAATTGAGGTTATTTATTTTTAATTATTTATTTATTTTTTTTTTCTGAAAACTGCAAAACATAAACCTCTAAATCCTTATACCAAAATGATATTATGCAGTAGAGATGTAAATGAGGTAAATAAGTAACTTATAACTTTTGGTAATTTATCATTTTAAAACATTCCGTTAAAACCGCAAGGAAGTATCCTTGGATCTCTGTTATTTGTTTTATACTTAAATGATATTTCGCCTGTATTGGGGAAAGTTAAATATCACTTATTTGCCGATGACACAATCATCTATGTATCAGACACGTGTAGAAAACCTAGTTGTAAAAACGAATGGGATACTTAACAATGTAAAAGACTGGATGGAAGTTAAATTAAAATTAAATGTTTCAAAAACAAAAGGTATGATACTAGGTAAAAAGTCATATAAAATGTATTCTATAGTAATCAGTTAAAATTTGAACTAAATGGGGAGACAGTAGAAGTAGTAGCTGAAATTAAGTATATTGGTGTTATAATAGACGACAGGTTAAAATTTAATAACAACACAAATTATATTTGTAAGAAATTTGCTAAGAAAATAGGAACTCTTAAAAGGGTTAGTTGGTATTTAACAATAAAAACTAGAAAATTAGTATTCAATACCATAATATTACCTCACTTTTGTTACTGTAGTACTGTATTATACTTAAGTAATAGGAGTGCAATTGCACGATTACAGAAATTAAATAATTGGGCTATGAGGGCGATTTTAGGATGCAAGAGATATACAAGAGTTGAGGATATGTTGGGTATTTTGAAGTGGATGTATATAGACAAGTTTTTAGAGTTTAATGTATTAGTTTTTATTCATAAAATTACATTGGGGAACGAACCACAATACTTGAAAAAAATATTGGAAACTTTTGATAATATCCACAATTATAGTACAAGAGGGAAACACAAGTTTATCTTGCAAAAAGTGCATAGAGCATCTGGACAAAATTCCATTTTTTTTAAGGGTATTAGTAAATATAATAGTTTAAGCCATGATGTGAAAAATGCTCGAAATATAGTATGTTTTAAAAATATGTTAAGAAATTCTTATATGTAAATATAGTATTTAAGTGTGTATTCAAATACAATGTATGTGATGTGTAAAACAAATTTTTGATGTTATTTAGTAGGTTTTAAGTGAGACAGTGTATATAAAAATAGCAAAGTGCTAAATAAAGTGCTATTACATTACATTACATTTTGAACTTAACTTTAAAATTATAAAAGACAATTCTACTTCATTTCACTATTTAGTATTTATTATTTGCTTGTTCTCTATTATTTGTTTTCGTCATAATGTTCACATTGTGTTGTGGGTACACATGTCTGCAAGTGGCCCATTTTAAGTATTACGTCAAGAGTGTCAGCCTGACGCCGGAAGGCCTAATTGATGCAAGCGACAAGAAACAATGTGCAACGCGGAATATGGTTCCTGGAAGAGGACCACGGCAGATTGGCGCCAAGGACCAGATACTTATACCTGCGAACGACTCCACACCAAGACGACTCTCCAGCGAACGCCCGCCCCGACAACACTTATTCTTTTTCACTAACTTTGTTTTCAATAACAATACTTTTACTTTACCATTGAGAGAGAGTATTACCTTGCTGCACGCCAAAAGCTCAGTCTTATATGATTTTTATAAAATGAGATATAGGTATATTTTGTAATTTTTCTTGACGAACTTTATAAAAAATATAATTAAATATTTTCGTCTTTTTCAAATATCTATTTTCTTGCAAAATGTTCCATATATTTTGGGTTTCAAATGATAGTACAACTCTTTCCAACTCAATGAAATTTGATATACATATTGTAATTTTCATATTACCAATAAGATATTTGTTACTTATGATTGACAACTTTTCCTTGAACCATCCTGTATGATGCAAAATAATTTTAAAATGGGCAGCCACTGACCCTGTATATTTTCATTATTTTCATATTTATTTTTACAAAAGTTTCATAGTTTCCAGTACTGAGGCATATGTAGTCCACCACCCTATACTATCAAATTATGTTTTTCTATACTTAGCAATTATTGACACAAAAATTATACTAATTCATTTTACTAATATTTATACATAAACTATGTAAGTAAAGAACAATCAGTATTAGCAAATATATTTATTGCTGAGTTCACCAAACACTGCTGACAGACATACAGATACAATAATAATTTATAAAAGCTTATTATTCAGTTTGCATACATTTAAATTTAATATAACAAAATATAATAGTCAGGTTCATAATGAACAAAAGAATCCTTCGAATTTGAAGAAGTTAAAAGCATTGTCAAAATAGTATGTTACTTTGGTAATTAGGAAATTTTACTTAAATGACATTAGTATCAATTATGATTAACATTAACAATATTAATTTCTCAAACTTTATCAAACCAAGTTTGGACAGATAAATATCTTGTTTCCTTAATTAGTTAAGGAAACAGCGAAAAGGTTGTCAACTGTGATAGTAAATAATGAAGTTTATGGATGCCAAATTTCAGCAGAGTTTATTTAATTAGGGCAAGTTTTACAACTTATCAGGAAAAAACTTGATGAATTTAATACGCTGAATAAAAAATTACTAATGAGTTATTATTACTGATTATTATTCAATTTTTTTCTAACCTCATTATTTTGATAAAAAAAATTAGAACTATACTCCTAATATACAGGGTGTACCGTTGTGTGCAAGTTTCTCATGGGAAAATAATGGATGTAGTTCATGTAACGTTTTTTACTTCGACACCCTGTTTTCGAAATACAGAATGTTGAAGTTGTTACTTTCCAAATGGTTTTCCTTATTTTTAATTTTTTAAGTTAATGAAATTAAATTATTAATGGTAAAATCGACTGTGTCCAATTATTAATCTATAAAATATTTTTTAATATATCATGTAGGACGTTTAGGTACTACGACTTATTTTTCATTCCTTTTAAACATACCAATGCCTCCGCAAACTCTCCTGTGTGCAGAATGATGTGTCTTTATATGTATACTTCTTTTATAATATTTTTTATGCTATGCTTTTTATGATGCTTTTCTTTTATAATATTTTTTATGCTATTTACAATCTTAAAACTTTTTGTACTGTTGTCTGATGTATATCTGTTATAGTTTTCCGAAGTTAATTGAAGAATCAATAACTTCAAGGTATGTACCAGGCTCGGTCGCTACACAGCAACTCGGCATTGAAATATTTGAAAAACTTGTTTCCATATTTATTTATCTATATCGATAAACAGGTCTGGTCGAACTAAATATGGAGATGACAGAAATGTATACGCTCAGTTGAAGAATGCAAGCACGGGTAAAGGAAAACGATTACAGTTGTATTGGGCTACTGGGCAATAAATCACAGCAGACAAGTGGTTCATAAATTGCCCAGCAGTGCAGTGCGGCAATGCGGAATTTAGTGTGAATCAGGTAATTTTAATTTATTATAGGCACCTTCTATGAATCATTCATATTACAATTGCGAAAGGGAGAAATAAGAGGGATATTTTGTTTACTAATATTATCACAACATGGCATTTTGGAAACCTTTTGTAAAGGAACAAAACGAAATTTATTACCAATATAATAAAATTGTTAGAGGACATAAATAATTAAAATATGTTGTTGGCTAAATGAACATATAATAGAAATTTTCTACACATTATATATAAATTATTATAATTTTTTACCTTTATCGGAAAATTTTTTTAGGGACGCCTATGAAACTCATTAAATTTTATTACCAGATGTTTTTTTGCATATTCAACTGACTTCGGAAGAACTATAATTTAGTGGATACTGTAGTGGGGTTTTTCGCCTGTTTGTGTCCCAAATGGTAAATAAATAAATAAAATGTTTTACAATTTAACTGTTTTATGTGATATGTAAGAAATTGAAATTATATTCTTAAATGCAAAGACTATTGGTAGTATGCTTTAGAGATTACAAAACTGTTTAGAAATGTGACAAATTTTGAGTTTTAACATTTTTTTTTCGATTGTACCTGTACCTCCAATTACCTGTATTG